AATTCTTCAACAGACCTGGTTCTAATCTGGGCTCTATCCACTTCCTGACTCTACTCACGGCCCCAAACCTGTTTCTTTAACTAGGCTTGTAAGGACAACAACAGTATTTCCTTTATAGTCATTTGATGATTAAATGAGCAGTTGCGTATACAGTGCTTAGCTTAATAATTGCCCTACAATAAGTGTTCAACAGATGCGAGCTCCTGTTTTGATCCATCCATCCACCTACTCGTCCACCCTCTCATCCGACTGCCCCCATCCGTGCACCCATCCATGCATCTGTCCATCCATCCATCCCCCAACTCCTCCACCCTCTCATCCGTCTGCCCCCATCCGTGCACCCGTCCATCCATCCATCCACCTCCTCGTCCACCCTCTCATCCGACTACCCCCATCCGTGCACCCGTCCATCCATCCATCCACCTCCTCGTCCACCCTCTCATCCGACTACCCCCATCCGTGCACCCGTCCATCCATCCATCCACCTCCTCGTCCACCCTCTCATCCGACTACCCCCATCCGTGCACCCGTCCATCCATCCATCCACCTCCTCGTCCACCCTCTCATCCGACTACCCCCATCCGTGCACCCGTCCATCCATCCATCCACCTCCTCGTCCACCCTCTCATCCGACTACCCCCATCCGTGCACCCGTCCATCCATCCATCCACCTCCTCGTCCACCCTCTCATCCGACTACCCCCATCCGTGCACCCGTCCATCCATCCATCCACCTCCTCGTCCACCCTCTCATCCGACTACCCCCATCCGTGCACCCGTCCATCCATCCATCCACCTCCTCGTCCACCCTCTCATCCGACTACCCCCATCCGTGCACCCGTCCATCCATCCATCCACCTCCTCGTCCACCCTCTCATCCGACTACCCCCATCCGTGCACCCGTCCATCCATCCATCCACCTCCTCGTCCACCCTCTCATCCGACTACCCCCATCCGTGCACCCGTCCATCCATCCATCCACCTCCTCGTCCACCCTCTCATCCGACTACCCCCATCCGTGCACCCGTCCATCCATCCATCCACCTCCTCGTCCACCCTCTCATCCGACTACCCCCATCCGTGCACCCGTCCATCCATCCATCCACCTCCTCGTCCACCCTCTCATCCGACTACCCCCATCCGTGCACCCATCCATGTATCTGTCCATCCATCCATCCACCAACTCCTCCACCCTCTCATCCGTCTGCCCCCATCCGTGCACCCGTCCATTCATCCGTCCATCCATCCACCCACCTACTCATCCACCCTCTCATCCGTCTGCCCCCATCCGTGCACCCATCCATCCATCCGTCCATCCATCCATCCACCTACTCGTCCACCCTCTCATCCATCTGCCCCCATCCGTGCACCCATCCATGTATCCGTCCGTCCATCCATCCACCTACTCGTCCACCCTCTCATCCGTCTGCCCCCATCCATGTGTCTGTCCAGCCATCCATCCACCTACCCATTCATCCATTCGTCATCCTACCCTTTCTTCCTCCCTCTACCCCTTCATCCACCAAGATTTATGAAGAAGTGAGGTATCTGGAGTTTATAAACCTGTATTTGAGGCCTAATCCCAATTACTTCTCCCTATGTGGTCTTGGATAATTCAAATTTCTAAATGTTTTTGCTTATTCTTCTGTAAATTGGGGAAGATTACACATCCTTCCATTATAAAGCTACTATGAGCATTACATGATACATTAAACTCTCGTTAGGCAACATATCTACTTATTGAGGTGCCAAGGCCAATATGACAAAAAGCAAGATACACCACACTATGGAAATATAAAAGACCTACAGGCCAGCGCCCTCTCACACTTCAGATTCATATTTCAACTTCCTCCTGGATATCACACATTGGAGGTGCCAAGATCCCTCAAATCAACAGATCTGAAACTAAGCTTATGATGTCTCCTGTTATGGGTGAATTGTGTCCCCCCCAAATTTATGTGTTGAAATCCTAACCCCCAGTACCTCAGAATGTGACCTCATTTGGAGACAGGGTCTTTACAGAGGCAATCAAGTTAAAATGAGATCATTAGGGTGGGCCCTGATTCAGTCTGACGGTGTCCTTACAGAAAGGGGAAACTGTGAGAGGAACACGCGTCGAGGGAGGGCCACATGAAGGGTCAGGGAGAAGACGGCCGTCTACAAGCCAAGGAGTGAGGCCTGGGACAGAGCCTTCCCTCACGGCTCTCAGAAGGAACTAACCCTGCTGACACTTTTATTTTGGACTCCCGCCTCCGGAACTATGAGGAAATAAATTTCTGCTTTTTAGGCCACTGAGTTTGTGGTACCTGTTATGACCTTCCTAGCAAACTAATACCCCTCCCGACCCCTGTCCTTCTCTTGTATTTCCTATCTCAGTAAACTCTACCACATGTGCCTGGTTACTCAAGCCAGATACCTAAGCATCAGTCTTTTCCCTCCAATTTTCTCAGTCCTCCCTTCACCAAGACACCATGTCTTGCCCATTTTCCCTCCTCATATTTCCGAGATGCATACACTTGTCTCCATCCACACCACCATGATCCTAGTTCAGGCCTCCTAGAGGTCTCCTCCCAACCAGTCTGCCCCTCTCCAATCCATTCTCTGTGCTACAGAGGGTCTTTCTAGAACCCAAATTCAAAATCACTTTGTGGCTTAAAATCCTCCAGTGGCCAAATTCCTTAATGCAACTTACAAGACTCCCTGATGGGGCTCCTGAGGACATCTCCCGCCTCAGTCTCCCCATTCGCCCATTTCCATCAGTACCAGTGCCACTGGCCACACACCAGGCTCTGTCTCACTGCCTGAGATATTCAACTTCCCACCTCCTCACCTGATAACATCCCCTCATTTTCCAGGTGTGACCTTCCATATCACATCTCGACCTGAGGGTCACATCCTCTCTGTGCTCCCTCTGTCAGAGCATAGGTCACAGCACACTGTCGTTGCTGCTGACTTGCCTGTCTCCCTGTAGAATGTGAGCTTCGTTGGAGGAGGTCCTGGGACATCTTCTCTATGTCTCAGTGCCCTGCCTGCCACATCAGGCGGTCAATTCATATCGACTGGAAGGTTTTCATAAAGGAGGCAGAAGTTGGGAGAATGGTAGGCCTATAGGAGGTGGAGAGGAGGAGAGATGATGTTTGTCATGTCAACCAAAACTTGGAGGCCAGCACACACGAGGTCCATCTGGTAGACATCAAGCGGGTCATGGTTTGGGAGAGGAAGGTTGCAGAAAGAATAAAGTGTCAAGCTCTGCATTTGGAAATCATTCCATAGGCAGAAGCAAACATTGGAAGCTCTTGAGTAGAAGGAGAGGAGGAAATAAATTCAGAGACTTAACGAGACTCTCACGGAAATGCTAGGCGGGGTAGAATGAAACAGGAGACTGAAGGAGTGAGGTCTTCCATGAGCAGCCCCCACCACAAGGCAGCAAAGACCTACAGTGTTAACAGAGGGGGTGGAAAGAAAGGCGTGGCAGTGGGACCCTCTGTGGAGGAAGAGGCGACAGAGTTGCCGTCCAGCTAGCTGGTGGAGGCATGAGCCAGGTGGAGTGATGGAGAGTCTGAAACCATGAGATGGCGATAAAGAGCCATCAGGAGGGGAAGAAGATTGGGGAAGAAAAAGGTGCTTGATGAGGCAGATAAAGATAAGAACTGGAATGTGTAAGCCTGTCCTCGGGCTGAGACAGTGCAATCCCCAGACAGGAAAGAGCTTGCACTCCTGGGGGAGGAGTGTGGGTAAAGAACAGTGAGAGAGCAAGCCCCGAGCCTGGGGACTGCAAGAGAAAGCACGACAGAGACAGGAGGGGGCAGAGCAGGCAGGGGCCAGAGCAGTGCTCAGTGAATGGAAGCCAGGGAGAGCTCCGGAGCAGAAGAGGGGTATAGTGAAAGCATGTAATGCTGCAGAAAGACCGAGGAGAATCATAAGGTCCAGAGATTATTCCCTCTTCTTGAGGGAATAACTGAATTCTTACTTTCCATATTTAGGCAAACCTCAAAATGCTTATTGGCACATAATTAGCTCTGCAAATTTGAGTGTACTAGTTAGCTAACCAGACAAAACACTTTTTTGCTAAAAATTTCGATGAATCCCATGGAGGATACACTCACATCACACTAAGTAAGGGCAGTAAGATGTTGTTTAGTTATCTTTACTATCAGCTTATTATTGTGGAACAAAATGATGGCAAATATATTTTCAAAAATGCCATGTTGAAAGGATTACAATACAACTTTATACACTGACAGAATGTTATATATGGCATATGCCTGTACAAAGTGTGATTTTGTGTACCTAATAAGGGTTTTGTAGCTAGTAATGGAAAGGACAGAGATTAACATTTACTGACAGTATATTACTTGCCAGGAGTTATTCCTGCATTTTTCTTATTTAATGCACATAGGTAAATAGTCCATGAAGTGTGTATTTTCTTTCTGCAGATGAGGAAATGGGCATGAAGACAGTAACTTGTCTAAGGTCAGGTAGTTTCACAGTGGGAGCTGTGTGGAGGGAAGACGCAGGAGAGGCAGGCTGGGATTCACATTCTAAATGTGTGAAAAAATATGTCAAACTCCAAAGCTCATGTTTTTTCCACTGTAGCACATGGGGATAAATCTATTCCAGTCATAACCAACTAAAGAGAGACAGACCAATTGATGTTTTAAAAAAACTAAGTAGTTGTCAAAATATTAATATTTGTTTAATTATTTATCTGATTTGCAATACTAGGATAGTTATTGTCAAGGCAGAAGATAATTCAAAAAGTTCATGGAAAGATTTGTATTATCTTTTAATTCTATTTTTTCCATGAACTTTTTGAAGTACCCTCATATTACAGCAATTCTGAGTCAGGAGTAAAGTAAATAAAGAGAATCAATAAAATAAAAAAGCTTAGACCAAGAGACAATACTGAAGCTGACAAGATTTATCAAAGGTATTTTCTTTTTAACATTTCTTATCAATGCACATGATTCTAATAGCAAATATATTTTTCACCATTCATTCAAATACAGTATAACAATTTATTCAGTATAAATATATATACACAAAATTTTACAAAGATATTAAAAAGCTTCTGACCAATGAAGTCATGAGTTTAGAAAGCAGAGACTAAAGATTAAATACTGAACATTAAGATGAAAACCACAATACTGATACTTTAGGAAGTTCTTCAAAGAAGTACGACCTTCAGAAAAAATCCTTATATGTATATCTACACCTTATCAAACTTGATAGCAAAAGCGCTACTTGCCAGAGCATTGACTAATAAAAATACATACTGAACTTCAGAAATAATACAAGCACATGTGCTAAAAATAAAAGAAAAAAATAAAATTTGCTACATTGCACCATTTTTAAGGACCTGAAAATACAACACATGGTTTAACAATAATGTTCTGACTACAATGACCATTATTTATTTACAATCTGTCTCCAACAAGGAAATCATCAGATTTACTCAGTACTAACAGCCAATTTCAACTAGTTATGCCAAACGTATAAGTGCTACCTACAAGTGAAAAATGAATGTATCAGGTTATTTAAAAGAATTATTCTTCAAGAACTATTCAATATCCCCCAAGCAGAGCTGCTAAGTATCTTTTCAAACTACACATATTGATGAGGTCAAAAATGTCAAACTATTTCCTTAATGTAAGATCCCACAAGTAGAATATTATCTTTATTACTTGACTGTAGATAAAGCCTTTTTAAAGCTGTGAAAAATAATAAAGATCTTCAATCTTCATCAAATCACATACAAATGCTGTCATTACACCTTTAACAAAATAAGCATTATCAAGAAAAGTCCAGCCTCTGATCTCCCAACCCCACCAACAGCTGAGTATGATTCTGGGAACATTTAATTGGTTTTAAATTACATTCATACAGCCTCCACCGGCAATGTAGATAACACAGTAAACTAGTATGCCAGCAAGCGTCTTATTAATATGTAATTATACTATATTTAGGTAGCTACTTATAATTTAGAAAGAGACAGGAAACTATACCCTTGAACATACTATTCACAACGGCAACCAGTGAACCCTTTGAGAAGAGAGCTTTAGATCTAACAATGCAAGTCAAGCTGCCTTATGTAAACTTGTATCGGCAACTTCACCATAAACCTGTCTTAGCTATTGGCAGGGGTGAGAAGACACAGGCACAAAAGTAACTGATGATTCAGGTTTCCGCTCATGAGAGAATAACCGTTTACAAACGGAGCAGTAAACCAACTGCAGGTAGCATATCAGTCCTGAAGGTAAATGTTTAAAATTCAAGGCAATGAGAAAGGAGAGACATGACCATTCACTTGGTCCTGAATTCCCAATTTCATTCTATTGTCTCAATGTCCCAATGTTTAGACATCTTGTTTAAAATTACCTGCTCAGAAATTTCTGAGTACACATTCAGGCATTTTGAAACCAGGATCCCACAATTCTTACCCAATGTAAGGCCATCAACAGACATGGACATCTTTGAATTATTTATACCGATTTCTTCTTATCTTTCCTGCATAAAGAAAATTGCCTCCCAACTGTTCTTCTTCATTCGTGAGTGGTCATAAAGTGCCGACACATTGGTATTCACACCCACTGAATCCTACTGGGTTTGCATCCCTCCGAGCTCACTGCTGGGGACGAGCCATTGTGTGCACAGACACGCTCTGGTACACCTTCATTCCGACTGCAGTCAGTTCTGCCTGATTTAGCTTCTGGTGGTTGTTCTTCTCTGGTATCTTGATTACAAGTTTCCCACGGTTTCAACAAACTGGGTCTTTCTTCAGGTGCAAAACATAAGAGGAGTGACTTAGCTAGAGATTCCAGTTCCCTGTGGCGAACTTGGGGTATGCCATTCTCACAGCTGTCAACGGACGTAGAGGTCACGCATTCATTCTGAAAATCACTGGCCAAGTTGCAAATACTTTCAACGCAGTTCTTGAGAAGACTTATATCACTGTGGCATCCTAGGCGAGAGGAAGAGGGAAAAACTAATTAACCTTCTCAGTCTTTATCAGGTATTTATTACTATTATATGACTCTAGATATCTTTTAAGTCAAAGTGACCCTATCAAGACAATTCCAAACTACTTAAGATTATTCAGCTAAAGTGCTTATCTACTAGATAAGCACCTCGTTTTTCAGGATCTAATTATCTAGGCAGAAGTACTTATAGCCACATTAAGTATGAATCAATTACACAAGTTCTTACTGGTAACTAATATCAATGAAATAGCATTTGGTAGGCTTTAGGCTAATGCCTTAAGCTAGAAATGAAAAGGAAAGATATCTGAGATTCCTTAAGTTATAGAATTCTGTTACAAATTCCATTTGGAGTATATACCTCTCAGTGCAGAAATAATAATTTGAATAGTTTTCTCGAAGCAATGTTTTAACTTCAAGAATTCTGGGGCAAGGTTAATCATCTTCTTGGAATCTTGATATCCAGAATTTTCTTCTTGTACTTGAGTTCTGAAACTTTTCTGTGAAAATAAAGTCAATATTTTTAAAAATATGTAACAGGTATATGGCAGTAAGGCTTAGACAATATGATTTAAATTGCCAGAATGTTATCTTTAAGAAACAGAGTTTAATTTTCTCACCAGTGCTGAATTCCATTTCTATAAGCAAGACCAAAATACAATATTAACAATTAATGTTTTTTAAAAGAAATAAGAATTTTCAATTGATTTTAAATCAAAGCTCTATTATCCTGTAACATAAGAATGGAATAAAACAACAGTACCATTTACTATCCAATACCATAAAAGAGAAATTTATTTAATTTTTAAGAGTTCAACTTTATAACATCTCCCATTTATTTTAGTTAATTAAAATGTTAAAGCCACAGGAATTATTCTCCTTTCCAACACATTTGATTATATACTTGTTCTATCTTTTTCTATTTACCTGTGACACAGAAATAAAATAATTTGTCTAATTCATCTATATTTTAAAATCTATGAGCACACTGATTATTAAACACAATTTTTTAGCCTAAAATGACTATTCGAGCAAAAGCTGCGTTACTAAACCGGTAGCAGTAAGAAACACATATATTAATTTTTTTTTTTCCTTTTTGTCTTTTTTCGTGTCTGGCAATGGATCACAACCCTCAGTGTCGCGCCCGTACCGGACCAGGACTGGCAACAGGATCGCAACCCTCGGTGTTGCGCCCGCACCTCGCTCAGCCAGTGAGCGGGAACCGGTCTGTATGTGGGATCCGAACCCTCGGCGGGAGCGCCACCACACTCCCAAGCGGCGCACTGTAGCAGTGCACCACCGGGCCGGCCCCACATATATTAATTTTAATCAATTTCTATATAATCCCTTTTCCATTACTAAAACTAGTAAGTTATGACATCCAAGAGGAGGTTACTAGAGAGCTGTTGTACATGCTTCAATTAAACTTGCACAAAAGAGTTGACTCTAGCTGAGGAGAAAAACTTAAATAAAAACATCCACACTTGAACCAAGTGAAATGATAAAATACACCAAACAAAATTAACTAAAAACAATTTAAAGCTTCTCTTACTGTTTTCCATTCAGTAAAGATGTTTTCAAGAGATCTGATCAATCCCATGGCGTTAGCTTTCATCTGTTTAGTAACCTATAGAGAATGTTAAAAATATATCATTATACAAATAATTATTTAGAAGTATAAAAATCCTAGAACTGTACGGATTCAGATAGGGAAAAAGTTCTAGTCTAGAAGCCAGAAGACTGGAGTTCTGTTTCTGGGATTGTAATTAAATAGCTCGAGAGTACCTAAATCATATAAGTGGGATTTCTTTCAAAATAAATCTCACATTGATTTCTACATTAAATATGGACACCTTCTGATAATAATAGAATTTTTCTTATATTGAAATATTTATAGATCTGAAATTTCCAAAACTTCCCTTGGAAGAGGGTGAGGTAACTAATACATCAAGCAAATATGCTCTGAGAACTTTACAAACATCTGTATTATTTGATTCTCAATTACCACCTTATGCTGCATATGGAATTGTCTTCATTTTACAAATAAGGAAACTGATCCTGGGCCCTAACTCCTAACACTCAGAACCAGAGTGGGAGGCCCAGTCTAAATTCCAAGGCTTTGCTTTTATACTGCTCTGTGCTGCCCCCTAAGGTGCTTTCTTATGTAATTTCTGCCAGGGGATTCTGTTTAAACATTTAACTGGCTTTATACACAGAGATCTTGATCCTTAGGTCTGACTCAGATTAGCTCTATGTGGTAAGAAAAAAAAAAAAGCATCCAAATTATTTTTCCCCCTGAATCTAGCTTTAAAATTGTAACTCCAGTGCCTTATGTTTGAGCCTAATTTATATTTCTTTCAATATTTTATTTTTTTCTGCAGGATCTTACGAGTTTTAATTTATAAGAATATGATATGCTAAAACTCTACCATGAATAACAAAGTACAGCATTGACATACTGTGGAAAGAAAATGAAAGGAAGGAAGGTAGAGGTCTGCAGGAAGATGCAGATAATAAAAATTGTATACAACATGGGCCTGACCCTTATGCTGTTAATTTCCTCAAAACAGTACCAAAGCTAACATCCACTAACTTCTACTTTAACAGCTTACTAAGCACAGTCAAATACATTATTTAACCACCATTTTTCATTAACTATTCTATGCCCTTTTGCACTAATTGCCAGTGGAAATTCCGCTTAGCAAATAGTGATAGATAAACTGTTTTAGTGATAAATGATGCTGTTGCTGGGCATTATTTTTAGCATTTTCATATACATTGTTTTTTAATCTCATATAATCCTCACAACAATTTCATGAACTAAGTGTGATCTTCTCCACCTTTAAAATGAAACAACCAAGGCTCAGGTAAGTTGTTCAAGGTTACATGGAAAGGTTTTCCTAAAAAAAATTTTTAGCTCACTCCATGCCTTCCTGGAAACCACCACCCAGAGGAGTACAAGCTAACAGTCCTCCACATGATCTACTTTAATAGATCAACAAATATGTATGTAAACGAGAAGACATCCTAATAGGTAAGATCTCAGGAAACTAAATGTCCCCAAGAATGTCCATCCCAGACACCTGACTCCAGCAAGAGAAATGGAACGAATAGAGATGGTTTTAACAAGTTGTTACAAAAAGATTCTAGAACAGACAAGTCTGTGAAATCTAGTCCCTTAAGATTTGAACTTGTATCTTCCTAATCCCCACTTCACTAATAGTAACTCTCAATAAAGAAAATTAATGCATTGACAATGATTTACAAAATTCATTTATGTAGCATGGTGAGTTTTGGAGTCTGGCAGAATATGAAATCCTGGCTCAGGACTTTACATAGTTGGGTGACTGGGCAAGGTATTCCAACTCACTGAAACTCTCAGCAATAACAGTAATTCCTTCCTTGAAAAGTTGTGAGGTTCACACTATCATAGGTAAAGCACCTAGGCCAGCAACTGTCGCAGGAAATTATTCAGTGAATAAATAGTTTACAGCCTGTAACATGGGTATTATTACACGTGATAGGTGAAGAAGCAGGATCAGAGTGCTAAGTGACTCGCTAACTGATAAGTGAAAAGTGATAGAGCCAGGTTGCAAACATGGGTCTTCAATATCAAAATCGAGACCTTTCCTCATATACTACCTTTAAGACAGCATGGGTTTCCTGCTTTCATATTAGTTAGCTAGAAGAGGGGAGGAAGCATATTTTTGGAAGTCATTGGCTCTATATCTTGATATGAAATAATCTATGTGTATGTCCCTGAAAAAATATTTAGTCCAAGATATTAGATCAATAAATGTTAGTTTCCATTCTTACATGGGAGAGTAGAGACCTAAACAAAGATAAGGAAGAAAAAGACAAGCAGAAAGTGAACACTAGATGTCACTACCACACTCCACTCTCCACTTAGGAGTTCATCTACAGACTAAATTCTCATTGGAAATAGCTGTGACAGGACCTAGCAAAATATGAATAACAATAGGGGATGTGGTAACTCGAGAATAACTTGGGAAAATATCACCATGAGATCATGGTATCATCAACCTCTTCAACAAAAAATAATTCAACACATTAAAATATATAAATTTATAAAAACCTAATTCATTGCATTAAACTATCTTTAGAAAATCAAACTTATACATTCTCTGGTTCTACATAGAACATTCTTTTGTTCGTCTTACCTCATTTTGTATACACTGCCTTAAGAGTTCATGCTGAAGTTCTTCTACTTTTTCCAGTCCAGAATCTAATAGAACCTTCATTCCTAAGCCTACACCATCACAAACAGCATTCATGAATTCCTCCTAGAAAAAGTTTTTAAGCATTAACTGGTAAATTCAGCTTTTATATATTTTTTAAATTATCAAGTAGTTGAGTTATATTTTCCGCTCATTTTAGAACTGTAATACATTCCAAGTTTATTAAGTTCAACTAAAACTGATTAAAAACTAACAGTCTGTAAGGAGATAAAATTAGCAAATCTGTAATTTAGTATTCCACTTATAACATGTTATAAAGAATGTTTATCATCTTAGGCAAGATATGTTGCTAGACCACAGTAACATTCTAATATAATACTATGTTTTCAATAGTATAAATAATTAAAGCAAGCAAATAAAAAATGTTGAGAATTACAGTTTCTCATGTATGAATTGGCTGAGAAAACCCTCACATCAAACCAAGGATCCAAAAGGTAAAGTAAGATTTGCAAAATCATCCAGGACATTTAACCAACTTAGATTGAGATAGTTTTTTGTTTTTTTTCCCTTTTTTTTGTCTTTTTTTACTGACCGGTAACAGGATCGCAACCCTCGGTGTCGCGCCCACACCACGCTCAGCCAGTGAGCGGGAACCGGTCTCCACATGGGATCCGAACCCTCGGCGGGAGTGCCACCGCGCTCCCAAGTGGTGCACTCTCCAGTGCGCCACTGGGCCGGCCCAGATTGAGATAGTTTTAAATCTTATTGCCAAACTACTAAAAGTATGAGCTATTTTGAAAAATAAAAAGAACCTGTAATGTTTAGTGATACCATTACCAGAAGTCTCTAATGTTCCCTCAGATGAAGTCTTTCAAAACTAATGTTGCTAAATTACCTGGACACTGACAGCCTTATTGTTACTGTTTTCCAGAAAATGTAGCTTGCTCCCTTTCAGAACTGCTAATTGTCCCACATACTTTACAGCTTGTTGTACAATCTGGATCACTTTCTTTTGAGCTTCTTTTACCATTGACAAAATATCTGAACAGCATCCCTGTAAGATAAAAATGGACCAGTGTATCAAATACATGAAACTGGGGGTGGGGGGAGGAGGTATAAAATAACCTGAAATAAATTCTGTATTCATTGATACAGGGACTACACTTCATAAATGTCTCAGTCAGAACCAGAAAACATGCAGACCTATAGCTACTAAAGGTGATAAAATGAAGAAGACATAGTCTCCATCCTCAAAGACCTTACACAGTAATAGGAGTCATAAGGCAAGTACAGTAAGAACTTAACTAGCTATAAGATAGAAGTGGTAAGTGAAAGGAAAGGAACAAAAAAGTGTCTCTTTTGCCTTTGAATTTTTCCTGTCTGGATAGCCATCTGACAGATGTTTAATCAAGATATTTTCTTTTCTCGGGGGAGAAGGGGAACTGGAGGCGGGGGGCACAGAAACCCTTTAGAACAGAAGTCTTCTCACATGCGTTTGGTGTACACATGTCTTTGTGTGTTTTCTGTTTGCTTGGTTGGCTGGTTTTTGGTAGCTGGCTTTAGGTATGGGGATCTGAACCCTTGACCTTGGTGTTGTTACACCGCACTCTAACCAACTGAGCTAATTGGCCAGCCCTCGGTGTGCACATATCCAAAAAGAACAGGGAAGCCTCTCTCGAGCTTTTCTTCTTTCTGTTATTTGCCCACTGCAGTGACTCTTCAGAATACTCCTCCTGGCCTGCTTTCTGCCCACAAGGTAAGGACTGTCAAACCATATTCAAGCAGAAAGTGTAGTCACTAAATTCAGTTTTGCCAGCTTAACACAAGTCTCTCCTGAGCTCTACCTAACTTCCCCTCCAAGTCACCTGGTGTCTGCATCCTTGACTCCTTACCTAAAACATTTCCTATGGGGCTACAGGGTGGAACCCGGAAGCTAAGTTCAAAGTGTTCCTCTCAGAAAATGTAAAGGAGAGAAACTACGTACTGGTTCCTCTGATGCTTTCTTATAACATTAATTCATCTGATCCTCACAGCAACCCTGCCAGGTAGGCACTGCTATTTTTATTTTCCCAGTGAGAAAATGGGAGACTCAAAAAGTTAAGCAGTTTTCCCAAGGACATACAACTAATTTCGCACGGGTTCAAACATTAGATTTTCAAATGCCAATAATAGGGTTTTGGGTGAGTGTGTGGGTGGGTGTGTGTGTTTCCCTACTATTCTTGTACTGCCTCTAGAATCTGAGAGCCAACTAACTCTACCTCACTCTCGTTTCTAAGCCACCCTTCAGCTAGCTTCCTTCTCAAGCTTTTATCTTACTTCTTCACAGCCAAACCTAATCTTACCTGGTACAAGGTAAGTGGGAAAACAAAATTAATGTCCTTGGGCTGACCCCGTGGCTCACTCAGGAGAGTGCGGCACTGGGAGCGCCGAGGCCGCGGATTCGGATCCTATATAGGGATGGCTGGTGCGCTCACTGGCTGAGCGCGGTGCGGGCGACACCAAGCCAAGGGTTGCGATCCCCTTAACCGGTCACACAAAAAAATTACTGTCCTTGCCTCTATGTCAGTAAGCCTGTGACTAATTCAGCAAGAGCTCAAACCTAATCTATAACCAGAACAAGACTTTGCCTCTCTTGCCAATAGCCCTTACTGAGGGCCAGCACAGTATGATGGTAGAGAATAAACTCTGGGCCCAAGACTGTCTGGGTTCAAGTCCAACTCAATCACTTACTAGTTATGTAGCATTTGAAAGGCTACTTCTCTTCCCTGTGCCTCTATCTCCTCATCTATAAAATGGTGATAACAACAGTACCCACTTCTGGGGTTGTAATAAGATTAAACGAGTTAATACTTCTAAGTCACTTAGAACCACTAGTACATAGAAAGCCATGTAAGTCTTGGTTCAATAAATCACTTATAGACATGCACAATCTCAGGACTTCAAGACAGAAAGCACTTCTGAAAATCCTACAGATCTGATTTTGGGGAAGATGCAGAGAGCAGAAAGTCAGTATATACTGAACAAATGAATTCTTCAAATGATAACAAGCAAATCAATTTACCTGCAAAAATAACTGTAAGTAGCCTCCCAGTTTTTTAACTTCTTGTCTCAATTCATCTTCAAGTCTTGCTACGTTGGAACAAGGTAAAAAATCACTCAGCCAGTGTTTGATTAGCACCACAAGCTGCTCAAAAGCACATGCAATCTGGATAGTAAGTGACTGGGTTGCTCGATCAGAAGAGAACACTTTGAAAGAAGAAGGAAAATTACTGGAAGAAATAATCTCCAAATAAAAGAACTCATATATAATCATCATTAAAACATTTTAACATAGTCAAAGATGCATGCCAGATGTGCCAAATAATCACTCAAAACAAAGTACAACGTGTAGTATATAATCATTCACGTGTGTTAAAAGCGGTGAGACTGCTTACGGTTATCTTGACTTTCTTCATCTTGTTCTTCATGAGCTTTGGAAATGGCTAATAGACCATTATAAATTTTAAGAAAATTATTCATCAGGCTATCTGCTATACTTTCTTCTTCATCATAACTCTGTCCAAGAAAATCTAATGATAAACCAATCAATTCTTTGCAAATTCCAGGAAGAAATGATTCTGCTGAATTTGAGTAAATGGTGCTTGATTTCCCCATTAAGCCTGCAACAACAGGAAATATCCATATTAAGCCTAGTTTTCAGGCACAAACCTTTCAAACAAATGCATTAATGCAAGCATAGTATAGAATAACTGGTCAATAAATTCAAAGTAGGCTATACTTATTTCAATACATCTTTATTTCTATATGCCAAAGTGAAAACACAATTCCATGCCAGGATCAATTAACCTCTCAACATCATCAGTCCATAGGTTTAGTAGCTCCTCAACTGCAATACAGATAACAGAGTATCCAAATATCCCACATAACCATTGGTTTAATTTCCTTTATTTACTCGGTGGTAGGGATTAATTTTCCCTAATACCTAAGGAAATGTAAATTGGTGAAGATAATGAAAGTTACATAAGATAAAATTAGAAATTTGATTAATTCATAAACTGGAAAAGTAGGCAACAAAAACTATATTAAAAGGAATATCTCATGAGGTACCTCTACTTTATAACAGTTCTTCTCAAGATATGCTACAATCAACATAGGCTACAGATGACTGCTTATCTACAGTTAATATAGCACCTCTCTGGGACACAGACTTTCAGAAATTATATATAATTTTCTAAGCACTGTCCAAACCACAAATTAATGGAAAAGCTTGAAAGAGCTCATTCAGAGCCTCTGGAAATACCTTTGTCCTAGAGTGCTAACATTTGAGTACAATGATTCTTATTTAATATACAAGATTAGTTTTCTGGTCCAGTCTATAGGTGATCAGAAGCAGCAAACTAAAAGGAAGGTAGACTAAAGGCATAGGATGGGGAATATTAAGAGTCTAGAACAAAGACGAGAGTTTTATTTGGGTAGGAAAAAAAAAAAAAAAAAAATAGAAAAGCTACAAGACACAAAGCTACAGTGTAGTAACGAATCAATTTCATTATGTTGATGATGATGACTATATTACAGTCATCAAGAATAGTTAGCTATATAGTCTCCTAGTCTCTGTTTAAGAAGATAATTGTATTAATGCATTCTAAAATCAAACATCAAAATTTTAGAAAGATCTGCAAAAATCTATTTTAAAAATATGGCCCTTAAAGTTGAGAAGTTAAGACACTTGCTCAACTTCCCAAAGCTGGACGATGTTCGACCCTGGCTGGGTACAAACCCTGTTCTCCCTGTTCCCTCAAAGCCTGGCCTCCTTCCACCACCTCACAGCTGCCCAGACAAGTTCCTTCAAAATGCACAGTTTCTCTGAACCTGCAAATAAGCAAAGACCTCCCATATCTCTGAGTTCCTCTCAAAATTACTTTTGTAAAACAGCTTACTCTCAAGTAATACTGAATAAATAAGTTGCTACCACAGCTTATCTATTTATGTTGCTGGCAAATAAAAGGCTTGCAGCATATTTTTATATACCTTAGATTAAATAAGTAGTAGGATCATAATTATCTTCCTAAGAGATAATTTTATAATTTTAAAAACCTAACTAATTTCTTTAAAGTCAAGATGAGACATAATTCCTCTTATTACTACTCATAGTCCATTAGGACCTTTATCAAATAGACTATTATATTACATTACATAGTAATTTTAAAACTTTTGTTTACAAGGTATAATTTATATACTGTCAAGTACACATATCCTAAGTGCACAGCTTGTTATTTTTACATACATATATGCCTGTGTAACCCACACTCAGATTAATATATACAACCTTTGCACTACCCCATCCCAACACATTTCCTCTTCCCAGTTAATACCTCCCAACAGAGGTAACCCCTACTCCATTCTGAACTACTCTGGCTTCTGTCACCATAGATTAGTTTTACCTTTTCTTGAACTTCATATAAATGGCATGATACAGTATGTACTTATGTTTTGGGGATTTATCCAGGTTGTTGTGTGGATCAGTCATTCCTTCTTTTTTACTGCTATGTAGTAGTCCAGGGTTAGTGGGTAGTAGTTTTCAAATTTTAGTTATTACAGGCAGTTACACATACAAATTTATAGTGTATTCTCCCCTTCTGTAGATAAATTAACACTATAATAAATATTAGTACAAAGTAATTATCCAGAAGAATAATTCCTGTAACTTTTTCTTTTAGATTTTTTTAAAAAGTAATTTTGGAATAGATGATACATGGATTATTATACAAAATTCAGAAGGAACCAAAGGGTATGCAGTGGAAAGGAAGCTTTCCTTCCTGACCTGTCCCCATCCCCCATGCTCCCATGGACAACCAGCACTTTTGGGTTATAATGTGGTTCTCCCAAGATTTTATTCATTTACAAGCATCTATGTATACATCTTCTTTTTTCTCCACCTCTTACAAATTAAAGTATATAATACATAATCTGCTACATTTTTCCTTTTTCACTTATAAAGAAATAATATTCTTACACATTTCTTAACATATATATTTCTTTCACATTTGAATTAGCCACTCTACTAAAAGGCTTTGTAATAAATCACAGAGCACAGAATTTTAGAAGTGGAAGGGGCTGTCCAATCCACCTGCCTCATTTTACAGAGGAAATGAAAGCTTCCAGGAGATAAAATTATTTATACAAGAATACAAAACAAGGTCATGGTGGAGCCAGGACTTGGTGCTTTTCACTATACAGAAATTTTGATGGAAAAAATACCTGATGAATGTGAAGAATGCAAATTCTGAACTGGGTGGACTGGTATGTCATGTAAACAACCAGAAATTCTTCGATTCTTCATCAAACTTCTGCTCCTGAAAAAAGATGAGAAGATAAAGGAGGTTAAGATTAGAAGTTGTACACCACGTGAAATGTTATTAAGAATATTTATTTATTTATTTATTTTTAATTTTTTTATTTTTTTCCTTTTTGTCTTTTTTCGTGACCGGCAACGGACTGCAACCCTCAGTGTCGCGCCCGTACCGGACCGGGACCGGCAACGGGATTGCAACCCTCGGTGCTGCGCCCGCCCCTCGCTCAGCCAGTGAGCGGGAACCGGTCTGTATGTGGGATCCGAACCCTCAGCGGGAGCGCCACCGCCTCCCAAGCGGCGCACTGTAGCAGTGCGCCACCGGGCCGGCCCAAGAATATTTATTTTAAAAGACTCTAAAGAAAACGGACATGCATGTGTGTGCTTTCCATGGAAAAATTTTCATCAAGGGCTAAATTCATCTGGTTCACTGAGAAAGAATTTTACTAGTTATAGGCACCGTTCTAAGCATACAGTTCATAAAACAGAATAAATACATACTGGGCACTTCCATTTACAGGCTCTGGATACTGCGGTGAAACATAGCAAATATGGTCTCTGGGCTCACGGAGCTTAAAGTCCAGAGCAAAAGAGAGAAATTAGGCAAATAATTACAATAAAGTGATGAGATTGTGAGAGCATAGAGCGCTGCGGTAGAGCCTGGAAAAGAACTTGACCTGGACCAAGGACTGGGGAGGTACTCCTGGAGCAGTGACCCCAAAGGATAAACAGGAGTTATTAGCCAAATAGGAAAAGGCCTGGGAAGCAGGAAATACTGTCTCAGACATAGACACCAGGATGTAGGAAGACCTGGTGATCAACAAAAGTATCACACACGCAAAGAACATGTTCAGAAGGACGTAAGTCTACAGTGAGAGAGAGAGGCAAGGGATGAGGCTGGGAGGTGTGCAGAAGCCAGCTTGAGGTTGACCTCATATGCCAACTGATTTTATCCTGAGTGAATTATCCAGAGAAGGATTTTAAATAGGGAAGCGATCTACGTACGTAAGCATCTAAGTAAATTTTTGCTACATGGTGTGAAAGCATAATACAGTAGCACAAATGGAGGAAATGATTCTATCTCCAATCGCTCTTTTGCTGCCTCTTTTCCCTCAACCTATAAAAATGCTCAAATAGCTCCCTTGAGTGTGATCGGCCGTCTAGCTGTTAGTCTTTTCTTTTTAACTGCTTCTTGAAAAAGGAGTCTACTCTTTCTGCTACTGGAAAAAGCAAGCTACTTCCATACTGCATTCACCTATCAATTTTCTAAACTCCAACTCCAGCTCATTATGTCAATGAAACTACTCAAGCAGTGACCTGGATTTAAACCTAGTGGATCCTTTGAAGTCTTTTTCCTAACTGAACTCTCTACTACCGTTGGCCACTCAAAGAAAAACACTATTTGTTGAAAAACTGTTAAATAAAAGCATTCTATCAGAAGTAGCCTAAATGTTTCATATATAAATTTCTCCCTGTGAATTCCTACAAGAAAAACACAGACATGTGACTGATAAAAGGGAAAGGAAATATCAATTCACAAATATTATAATTTTCCTACTTAGGGGTGAAAGGAAAAGGGACATTATTACAGTAAGTTTAAACTAGGAAAACTGTTATTCTTGCAACACTGTCATAGTTAAACAATGCTTAAACCCAAATAAAGAAAATGCTTGTCACATTCCTTTCAAAGAGTTTTTACTTAACCTTAGAGAAAATTTTACTTATAACTGTCAACAGTACCTATCAAAATTTACAGGCAGCCAAACCAGTCTATTTTATTGCAGGACAACTGTAGCATATCATTGCTCGGTACCACTTCTATAATTAAGAATCTGTCAGTGTTTCCATTACCTACAGGCATTCTCAGAGTTTGCAATTCTGTCATAAACATTCTTACAAGGCTGAAACTTCATACACAAGGTCTCAGACTAAGGGCAATTCATTTTTTAAAAAATATGATACTTTTAAATTACAGAAGTTCTCAAAAATATCTCTACCAAATGAAAACACCCAGTTTCAAAATCTTAGAAAATATTGAGGTTTTGATTTTTTATAACATCTTAAACTTCTCTAATTATTAACCTAAAAGTCTGCAGGAAATAAGATGTAAATCACCAATATTCAATAGGCTTAAATTTTAATGCTCATTAATTATTAATGCTCATATTGTGATCCACAACTCTGTTAAACAAAGTTTATATTTGCTTGTTATAAAAATAATAATAATAATAAGTAATCCTAAAATCCAAAGGTATTCATAAATCATTCTCTGATGAGTTTGTTTGCCTGGTTTAAATTTCGGGGAGGGTTATATTCTCTAGGTTGGCTTAAGTACCCCAAGCCCTATCCACTCAATTCCACCCAAGGGCCTTCTTTAGCTCACTTTAGTGCCAGGGCACAACTCTATCCAGAGCCCTCAGGACAAATCATCTAAGGATATCACTATCTGTTTATAGGTATTGAACCAGAAATTATATCTTCTCTGTATTCTAAGATTTAATCTTATTCAACATATAGAAAGCACTCAATAATAATCAGAGCTGCCGTTTATTGACTAGCCATCCACTGGCGTAGGAGCTTTTCATACATTATCTCTAATCGTCATAACAACTCTGCATCACGATCGTCATCAGTCCCACGTTGTAGACCATACTGGTTACAGAAGCAGCAGGAGCAGCAGCTGCTCTCCATAGACGACCTCACTTTAATCTTAATGATAAATCTCCGCCATATAGACATATAATACCACCTCCAATTTAAAGGTGAGAAAACTGAAGCCTCGAGATATGTCACTTGCCCATGACTACGCTGAGCAAAGATTAGAACCCAGGACTCTTAACATCAGAGCCTGTGACCTTTTCTACTATACTACATTGTAGGGGATTCAGATATATTTCCTACACTCAAGGAGAAATATGCTTTGTATTTCTTTTAAGATAATGCTTGTTATGTCTTAGCCATTTCTTACTGTAGTTTAGCAGTTAGCACATAGCAAATAAAGCAGAAATAATAGGGAAAAGGGCACTATAAAGTAGTTCTATATCTTAGAAGAAAATTACAAATGAACTTAGAATAAGAATGGTCAAAAACAATGAGAGGCCTTAAGAGGTTTGGAAACTAAATGGATTCTGACCTGTGGCTGAAGGGAATAAAGTTTAAAAAAAAAAAAAACAATCTAAACAGAAAGATGCTGTTGTTTCACATGTAATAGGGAGGCGATGGCATAGCTGTTAAAAAAAAATCAGGAGCCCTGGAGTCACCTAAACTTGGATTTGATTACCAACTGTTCCTCTTATCAGCTCTGTGGTTTTGGACAAATTACTTAACCTATTTAAATCCTCAGTCTCTTCAACTGTAAAATGATAGTAATGACAGTGCCTACTTCATAGGTTTGTAGTAAGTACTAAATGAGATCATGCGTAGCAAGCATTCAATAAACGTTCTTCACAATAATGATGCTTCTGTTGGTGGATGAATGCTATTGATTCATTTTGAAAATTCCCAAATCCCTCTTTCAAAGTTGTAGACTTGAATGTACACCTACACGTCTCCTAGGAACCTCATCATGTGCAAACGTAAACTCATCCTACCCGCCACCTCAGAAGCACCATTTTCCTCTAGTCAGTCACTCAATCTCAAACCCGGAGTCTCCCTGAGTTCTTCATAGCCTTCCAGCCCACAACCAGTCACCAAGTCCCACTGAATCTGCGTCTTGAATAGGTATAAAAGCTGACTCTCCTTTCCAGTCCTTCTGCCTGGCCTTAGCTCAGGTCTCTATCAACTGCTCCTGCCTCTACTTATCTCAATTCCTAGTCATTGTGGGCAGAAAGTATTTTTAATTCATCTTCATTTCCTTAAGACATGGCAGTCATCACAGAAATATTTGTTTAAAAACCAAACTAAGGGACTAAATTGTTTCCAAGACCAAGGTGTTTCCACGATACCATTTTGCCTCTCTATAATCTCAGTGTCTGAGGTCTAAGCAGAACTAGTTTTTCCTTGAAAAGCACCTATTCACTGTGGCGGTCTTTTATGTTTTTAGTTAGTAAGCAACATTAGTCATATATAGAAGTTCTCTATCACCATGATTTACTCTTTTGTGGTGCTCATACTAACCTGACTGCATTTAAAGTTCTATAACTTACAATAAACTATCATAGAATATGCCAAGTTCTTGAGAAAGGGTAATTTAAAAGTAATAAATACTGTTCATGTTTATAGGAAATTAGATTTATGCTATTCTAAATTGCTCGTAAGACTTATATGATGAAATACTGAACATTTTTGTTCCTCTTCTAACTGACATAAAACATCTAATGCCCCAAGTGCCGTAATTTGATCACTAATATTATTTGTCTTATATGAGTATTTTTGGGTTCCTTTTACAGGCATATCCATCATGACATTAGACAGTTCTTTTAAAATAAGGAAATGATATATATACAAAAATAAACACACACACACATATACAGAATAAGAAAACCTATAACAAAAACGTCTTTACCTCCTTCTAGACAATGAAGAAACTGGTGCATTTGTAATGTCAGGCTCCCATTCATCTTCAGGATCACAAAAGACATCTTCACCCCTGTTACTACCATTACTCTAAGAAAAATAAAATATATAGTTTTCATTAATTATGGGTGAAAAAATGTTTAGCAACCAAGAAAAAGTTTAAATACTTTGTAACATTTGAATTACAAGTTATCTAACAAGTCTAAAAAAAAAATCACATTCATGATAAAATTAAAAATCCATCCCATAATAAAAGTGATTATATTAAAAGATATCTACTAATGAAAGCAATAGAAATAATTAAATAATTCAGAAATAATACACATGGGATTTAGAAGATACAGTGAAAACAAAAACAATAAAATCCTCAGGACAGAAATAAAAGAATAATCTGACAATGTTAAGATGCAATGACTTCCTGCTTAAATATGTTGACCATGATAATAATCTTAATTATAATTTAAATACAAAGCAAAACCAATTAAAATTCTAGAAAAATACTAAATAGAGCTTGATTCAGAGAGAGTATAATTATATAAAAAATAAGTAGCAAATTGCAACAAACAGTTGAAAGTAGGAATTTAACAGTGAAGGTAACTCACAAACTAGGTTTTAACATAGAAGTTAAGGCAGGAATGATTAAATGACCTCAGTACTGTTTTTGTTTTTCTAAATTCACAAGCCGTTAATACTCATTGTAGAAAATTTGGAAATTATTAGTACATATAAACAAACACAAAGAAAAAGAAGAAAACCACTCGCAAACCCATCATTTACAGATAAATACTGTCAGTGTTTTAGTATGATTCCTTTCACTCTTTTTGAATTCTCTACTATGAATATACTTTGCATTCCTGGAATAAACCCTACTTGATCATGGTATAAGTATTCTTTAAAAGTAGTTTGGGGTCTGATTTACTACATTCCATTCAAAATTTTTATAGCTGTGTTCATATTAAGATTGATTTGTAATTCTCTTCTGAGTTATCTTTTCAGTTTTTGTATTTTTGTTTTGTTTTTAATTAGAGTTATTCTAGTATCATAAGATGAACTCTGATATTTTCTATTTTTTGCTATCTTCTAAAATAGTTTAAACAGAATAGGATTTACCTCTACTTTGGAGGCATAAAAGAGCTTACCCATAAAACTGACATATCAGCACCTTTTTTTCCTCCATTTTTTTCCTTGAGGCTAATTTGTTGACAAAATTCAAATTATTGCATGATTATTCATCTATGAAGTCAATTTTTATAATTTATCTTTTTCTAGTCTGTTCTTCCTAGAAGACTGTCAAATTTGTAAGCATAATGTTTTACAGAGAATATAATTTTTAAATATTTTCCTTATCTTTATTTAAATGCCATTTCTCATTCCTAAAATCACATGTTTATCTGTTAAAAAACCAGGGCTTAGGTTTGTTAATTTCTGATTCATTAATTATTGTTTTTATCTTATAATGATTTCTTCATTTGCTTTCCCGTTTTATCATTTTCTAGATTGAGGTAAATAATTTATTTCCATTTATCCATTAAACAATTCAAGCATTAAGGCTATAATTTGGCAGCATCCTCTGAGTTTTTATATATATTATCTTCATTACTGTTATTATCTAAATAATGCTGAATATAATTCCATATAAAGTCAGGTTATTTAAAGGTGAAATATTAGACAAATAGTAGCAATGCAACAATTTAATAGATGTTACAACTATTTTAGGTATAATCTTAGGAATAATTAGATAATAATATACAGAAAAATTAACTTTAAATTCATACCTCTCACAAAACACCAAAATAAATTTTATGTGATTCAAAGATGTAAACAGTTTTAAAAATTAAAAGAAAATGCAGAGGACTGGACGATATTTCAGTAAGATCTCTGGATTAATAGATTCAAATATACCAAATTAAAAAATATCTGTATAACAAATTGAAACCAAGAAAAAGATGATACAATCAGGGAAAAATGTACATGATAAATATAAGATAAAGCCTTATTATCAAAATACGTAAAAAAAGCTTTTATAAATATATTGGTTCATTACCCACATTAACTTAAAAAATTCAAAGGGCATAAATACATATACTTTACCCATAAAGATACAAAGGGTCAAATCCTCAGATTCACTAGTTGTTAAGATATAAATTGAAGCAAACTGGTAACACCGGTAAATGGCAATACTTCTGGCAAGCAATTTTTCAGTGAGCATAAAAGTACAATAAAAAGTTCACATTTTTGGTATCATTTTGGAAAATAGAAGACATGAAAATAAGATACTAAAACTAAAAGGTACAGAGATATTTTTAGTTGTGACTATTAAAGGCATCAAACAATTAAGAACACCCAAAGCACAGCAAGAAAGAAATGTAAATGTAAATATGTAAAAATGCACATTATTAGACATAGGAAGATAATTGCAAATGTTGCAAATTGCTTTATGGCTATCAGATTTCTTCTTCATTTAAGCTTAAATGTAAAACTTTTAAAATATATAATTATTGTTATAACACCAAGGTCAAGGGTTTGAATCCCCATACCAGCCAGCTGCCAAAAATAAAATAAAATAAAAATATATAATTATAATTGAATAGATTGCAGCATTAAGTTTCTCTATTACACATGTAACTATATTAAAATAAACCAATAAAACCTCATTTATATGTAAAAGCAAAGTCAATATATATCAATTGCTAATACTGGTTGATTTGGATAGTTGATGGAATGCCTTTTCTTTTCCAAATTTTCTTGACTGAATGTCACTTTTATATTTCTTTATTTTAAAAAGTTTATAGAGATTTTAATAATATTCCAAACCTCGTAAAGTTCTTTCATTGCTGCAAGTTTAGATTCAAACTTTTCCAGACTCCAGAAAGTTGATATCCCTAGTTGCAGATTACGAACCCGAATGGAAGTGTCAGAACCACCTTTATCGGAAACATCGTGTCTGAAAGAAAAACAAAAGAAAAATGCTTATCCTAAAACATACACACTCATTAATACTAAGAGTTTTCTGGAGTAGAATAACTTCCATAAAAATTCAGTGCACTAATTAAATCTTTCCAAAGTTAAGCATCTTTATTATAGTAATAATCATGTCTAGTATATACTATATAATAATGTCTTATATAAAATTTTTTAAATCAAAAAAATTTGAATAAGGTATATTTCCTTTAAAAAAGTGGAGAACTTATAAACAAATTTTCAACTCAAAAGAAAATCAGTAAACTCCTAAACATTTAAAATTATCCTGTTTATAAATACACTAGTGTGTCAATTGTTGAAACCTCTTTTGCTCCAGAGCAAGCTCTGAAAGGGGAGTCTGAAAGTGTCACTGGGATTCTGATACCAATTATTCCTAAGAAGGCACTGTAGAATAGACTGTAGAGAGATTAAAAAACAAACAAACAAACAAACATATGAATGTCAACTAGTTTAAAACAAAGAATTACCTTATAATCAGGATAATTAATTATTTACCTGCCAAAAACATAACATTTTTTAAATTTGTTGCTGATGGCATTGGCTTCCTGAATCATCATTGAGAGTTTCATGGAGCTCCAATTTGGCTGAACTAATACAAAACACACAAAGAAGATTCAAAATACATATATGAGCACTAACATCTATCACTAGGCAGATCAATTCCTGAAAAAAATTATCGATTTTAATGGTGTTAATTCTCTACTGCAGAAGAAGGGTGATGTTCGAGAAATTTTTCTTCAACCCTCAGTGGTGAAATAAAATATTCTTCATGTAAAATGAGGTCTTTAGCCTGTGGAGGAATGGAAGAAAATTGAAGTTGATATAGAGAGGATAAGGAATTATTAAAAAAATAAATAAAACAAAAAATAAATATAAATAAATAGCTGGCTGTTTAGCTCACTTGGTTAGAGGGTGGTGCTGATAACACCAAAGTCAAGTGTTTGGATGCCTGTGCTGGCCAGCCAGCAAAAACAAAACAAAAAAAGGAACTATACGAAAGGAAACACCAAAAACAACGCTTTTCTGTAAAGATTTTTTTCTAATCTCCTTTTTACCAATCTCTTTTTTTTCCCCTAATTTCTAATTTCTTTAAAGTATCAGGTAATATATATACTACAGCCACTTATATAGAACTACATCCCTTTTTTATTTGCCTGAAAATTTTAAAGTATATATGTGTGTGTGTGTCTGTTTATCAGGACATAAAAATAAAAAAGGAAAACAACTTAGTCCACTATTTCATTTTCCTAATTTAAATTTAAGATTTTTATCATAAAAATTTTCTATATTGTTCAAACTTATAACCAGTATTCCACTAAAAATCCTTTTTCATAAGGATAAAACTCATTATTCATATGGATAAAAAAAAATCAAGTATTTATTGTAAAACATTGTTCTAGGCCCTGAGAGGAATAAAAAGATGTATTAATACAGTGTATTTATTTATATCTTGGAACAGATATAAAGAGTATTAGTATTTTTTAAATTATTTAAAAATAGAAGTTATAGAAAGTATACAACGTAACTACCAAGTATTCTTGCTAAAAAATTGAACCTGAATCTGATAGGCCTGTAGATCTAATTACTACTTTATAGGATATATTGGCACAGAGGAACCTGTTAAGCAACACCACAGAGAAACAATCAGCAAAACCCAGAATCTGGGAAACTCTAGAGGACAAATAACCTGATTCCTTCAACAAAGTAATTGCAAGGGGAAAGAGAGAGAGAAGAGTGAATTTACAGATTAAATTGTAATTGGCATATCTGCCAAATACAATGTGTGGATCATGTATGCATCATGATTCAAACAAACCAAATGTAAAAAAATATGAAACAATCCAGGAAATTTGAATATAGACTAGATACATGATGGGTGTAAGAAATTATTATTAATATTTTTAGGTGTGATGATAATATCATGATTATGTTTAAAAGAGTGACAGAAAAAGGAAAGAAAAAGAGAGTCCTTATCTAATTTAGAGATACACAGTGAAGTATGTACATCTCAAATGATATCATGTCATCTGGAGTTTGCTTCAAAATAGTCAAGGAAAGCAGGAAGATTGAGTATAGCTGTGACAAGACTGAACATGTGTTGAGAATTGTTGAAGCTGAATAAATACATATGGGTTTCTTATAGTAGTCTCTCTACTTTTATAGTTTAACATTTTCCATAATGAAAAAAAAATTAACATTAAAACATGCTATGTTCGGGCCGGCCCGGTGGTGCACTCAGTAGAGTGCGGCGCTTGGGAGCGTGGCGGCGCTCCCGCCGAGGGTTCGGATCCCATATAGAGACCGGTCCACTCACTGGTTGAGCGTGGTGCGGGTGCGACACCGAGGGTTGCGATCCCGTTACCAGTCACGAAAAAAGACAAAAAGGAAAAAAAATAAATAAATAAAAATAAAACATGCTATGTTCTATATAGAAATGTACCAGGAAAAAAAGTGCAATCAAAAGCCTCCCAGGACCTGATGGTTTCACTGATGAATTCTATCAAACATTTGAAGAATTAATGTTAATCCTTTTCAAACTCTTTTTATATATTTGTTATTTTATAAGCCCATATCCCTTATGAATGTAAATACAAATATCCTCAAAAATATACTAGCAAACCAAATTCATCAGCACATGAAAAGGATCATACATTATGATCAAGCGGGATTTATCCCTAAGATGTGAGGATGGTTCAACAAATGCAAATCAATAAATGTGATACACCACATCAACAGAGTAAGGATAAAAATCATATAATCTCAATAAGTGCAGAAAAAGCATTTGACAAAATACATCCTTTTATGATAAAGATTCTCAACAAATTAGGTATAGAAGGTATACCTCAACATAATAAAGACCGTATATACAAGCCCACAGCTGGCATCTTCAATGGTAAAAAGGTGAAAGCTTTTCCTCTAAGATCAAGGACAAGACAAGAATGCCCATTCTTGCCACTTCTATTCAACATAATACTGGAAGACCTAGCAAAAGCAACTGGGCAAGAAAAAGAAACAAAGGCATCCAAATTGGAAAGGAAGAAGCAAAACCATTCACAGATGACATGATTTTATATATAAAAAACCTTAAAGATTCAACCAAAAATCTGTTAGAACTAATAAACAAATTCAGTAAAGTTGCAGGATATAAAATCAATATATAGGAGCTGGCTGGTTATCTCAGTTGGCTAAAGCCTGGGGCTGATAACATTAAGGTCCAGGGTTCAATCCCTGAATTGGCCAGCTGCCAAAATATAAAAATAAAATTAAAAATTTTTTTAATTTAATTTAATTTTTAAAATAAGCAAAATAAATAAACATACAAAAGTCACTGCTTGCTGGTCTTTTGGCTAAGATTGAATGTTCTTATCAGTTTAATATCTGATACATCCTCTAAGGACAACCTATTAAATGGACTTTTGAAGCAACAAGATGAAATAGGAACTTGCTCTGTTTAAAAAAAAAAGAGGCAGTTTTGTTTCCATAAACTAACAATGAACTATCTGAAAAAGAAATTAAGAAAACAATCCCATTTATGATAGTATCAAAAACAATAATATAATTAGAAATAAATTTAACCAAGGAGGTAAAAGATTTGTATACTGAAAACTACAAAACATCCATGAAAGAAATTGAAGACAGAAATAAACAAAGATATCCTGTGTCCATGAATTGGAAGAATTAATATTGTTAAAACATCCATACTACCCAAAGCAATCTATAGATTCAATGCAATCCCTATCCAAATTCCAATGGCATTTTTCACCAATATAGAAAAACAATCCTAAAATTCCTATGGAAACACAAAAGACATCAAATAGCCAAAGCAATCTTGAGCAATAAGAATGAAACTGGAGGAATCAAACTATCTTATTTCAAAATATACTACAAAGCTATCATAATCGAAACAGCATGATATTGGCATAAAAGCAGACACATAAACCAATAGAATAGAATAGAGTCCAGAAATAAATCTACACATTTACGGTAAACTGACCTTTGGCAGAGAAGCCAAGAACACACCACACAATGGGGAAAGAATAGTCTCTTCAAATGGTGTTGGGAAAACTGGATAACCACACACAGAATGAAATAGGACACTTATCTCCCACTGTGATATTTTATTTATATACAGGTTTTCATCCATGCTTTCTGGCTCATGCTACTCTCTGATCTACTCCTGCCCTCTCTTCACCTGCTCCCTCTTATCCCCAAGACAGGAAATTCTCTGACTTACCTTATCAGATTGTAGGTCATCAGACGCCCATTTCAGGAGGGGTCTTGCCCCATACCCCGGAGGAAGGAATGCTGCAAAGAGAGGCTGAGAAGAATCTGCAAGGCCTTGCTGGGTTTCCCCACCCAGTCTGCTAGTGTTAGATCATACCCTTTTTGTTCAGTTACATTTCCACATTGCTGTTCATGCTTCAATCATGCTTATGTAATGAAATTTCCATAAAAATCCAAGACCATAGGGTTCAGGGAACATCTGGGCAGCTGAACTCATCTGCATGCTAGGAGGGTGGTGCACTCTAATTCTATGGGAATAGAAGCTCCTGAGCTCGGAACCGTTCCAGACATTGCCTTATGTATCTCTTCATCTGGCTGTTTCTTTGTATCTTTTAAAATATCCTTTGTAATAAAACAGTAAACATAAGGAAGTGTTTCCCTGAGTTCTGTGAGCCACTCTAGCAAACTAGTTGAACCCAACGTGGGGGCTGTGAGAACCTCAACTTATAGCTGGTTGGTCAGAGGTTCTAGAGGCACATGTGACTGGCACATGAAGTACGGAGCAGTCTTGAAGGCTGAGCCCTCAACCTGTGGGATCTGATGCTATCTCCAACTAGATAGTATCAGAATTGAATTGGAGGGCACCCAGCTGGTATCCACTAGAGAACTGCTGGCTTGCTGGCCAGTGGGGAAAAATCCCCACACCTTTGGTCACAGAGGTCTGTCTTCTGTGTTGCTTGTTGTGCTGTGAGAGCAGAGGAAAAACACACTTCGTGTTTTGTTTTTTCCAACACAATGTAAAAAAATAAACTCGAAATAGATTAAAGACATAAATATAAGACCTAAGAGTGTGAAATTACTAAAAGAAAACAAAAAGAAAAAGCTTCCTGACATTGGTCTGGACAATGATTTTTTTGGATATGACCTCAAAAGGACAGGCAACAGAAGCAAAAATAGGCAAATGGGATGGGTTCAAACTAAAAGTCTTCTGCACACCAAAGGAAACAATCAACAGAGTGAAGAGACAATCTACAGAATAGAAGAAAATATGTGCAAACCGTACAACTAGTAAGGGATTAATATCCAAAATATATAAGGAACTCAACTCAATAGCAGGAAAATAAATAACCTGCTTTAAAAAATGGGAAAACAACCTGAACGGACATTTCTCAAAAGAAGAAATACAAATGGCCAACAGGTATAGAAAAGGCACTCCACATAGCTTATCATCAGAGAAATGCAAACCACAATGAGCTATCATCTCATACCTGTTAGAATGGCTATTATCAAAAAGACAAGAGAGAAAAAGTGTTGGCAGGGAGGTGGAGAAAAAGAAACACTTGTTCACTGTTTGTGGGAATGTAAACTGGTACAGCCATTTTGGAAAACAGTATGAAGGTTCCTCAAAAAATTAAAAAGAGAACTATCATATGATCCAGCAATCCCACCTCTGGATATATACTCAAAGGAAATGAAATCAGTATGTCAAAGAGATACCTGCACTCCCATGTTTGCTGCAGCATTATTCATAACAGCCAAGATATGGAAACAACTCAAGTGTCCATCAACACACAAATGGATAAAGAAAATGTGGTATACAACATAATATTAGTCAGCCACAAAAAAGAATTAAATCCTGCTGTTTGCAACAACACAACCTGTAAGACGCTATGCTAAGTGAAATAAGCCAGACACAGAAAGACAAATACTGCATGATCTCACTTATATGTGGAATCTATAAAAGTCAAACTCACATAAGCAGACAGTAAAAAGGTGGTTACAAAGGGCTGCAAGGTGAGGAAAATGGGAAGATGTTGGTTAAAGGGTATAAAGTTTCAGTTACACAGAATGAATAAGTTCTGGAGATCTAATCGGCAGTGAGTTGACAATAGTTAATAATATTGTATTATATACTTGAAATATGCTGAGAGAGTAGATCCTAAGTATTCTCACCACACACACACACACAAAAAGGGTGAGTTAATGGATATATTAATTAGCTTGATTGTGGTAATCATTTCACAATGTGTATAAGAGCATCATGTTGTACATCTCAAATATGTACAATTTTTATTTGTCAATTTTACCTCAGTAAAGCTAGCAGAGAAAAATCTCTTTAAAAAAATATGTCCAAGCGAAAAGAAAACAAAATACCCAATGATTAAGCACAACTAGGTATAAAATAAGAACTAAGGATTAGAAAAAGATACGTTTTTAAAAACACATACACGTTAAAATAACACCTGAAATTTTGTTTACTATTTGCTTATTGTCTTAGCTCGAGCTGCTACAACAAATTACCATTGACTGGGTGGCTTATAAACAACAGAAATTTATCCCTCACCGTCTTGGAGGGTGGAAGTCCAAGGGCATGGTGCCAGCATGGTGAGGTTCTGGTGAGGGCTCTCTTCTGTGCTGCAGACTGCTATCTTCTTGCTGTGTCCTCACTTGGTGGAAGAGGTGAGGGAGCTCTGGGATTTCTTTTATAAGGGCACTAATTCCATTTACCTAATCACCTATCAAAGGCTCCACCCTCCTAATACCACCAAATTGGGGGTTAGTATTTTAACATATGAATTTTGTGAAGACACAAACATTCAATCTATAGCACTGATATAACTATTCTAAAAACTGAATATTCTAAAAACAATCATTCACACAAATTCATTTAGATCCAGAAAAGTCACCAATGTCTAGAAGAAAACATTTTTAATATATAAAGGCAACTAACTCTAACATTTTAATAACTGTATATAACATACATAACTTTAAAAAGTGTCTGCTAAAATAAGCATATACTCACTTGTAAAAGTTTTATCCCTATTACTCTGATTCTGCTGTAGAATTTGTACTTCTTTAGCAATTTTTTGCTTTTCAGTTTCTAAAGCTTCGAGAATTCTTGCATGACGAATGCTGTGGTCTTCTAAGGCCTAATTGATATTCATTCATATAGACCCATACATGAGAATATTCAAGGAGAGAAATTATAAAACCAAATTAAGATGATGAATATATTAATTTGTTTTGCTATAGTAATCATTTTACTATTTGCATGTATCCCATAATATCATGTTATATACCTTAAATATACACAATAAAATCTATTTTTTTAAAAGCCAGATCGATAATGGTAACATACTGTATAATTAAACCTCATTTTACAGTATACATTTTATTAAACATACATGATTAACATGTTTTACATGTTTTATTAAATATAAAAAGCTTTTAAAAAATGATTTATAAAATTTCCTAATAAAATGATTTTTCCCCACGACAATGTCATTAGGAATTTTTGATGACATAGATTAATCTTTTCTTTCCATTGATAGAAAGTGAAAAAACCTTTAGAAAAAAAAGAAAACTGCTCAAAAAGGCCACACTCAAAAACATTTGTAGACTATAAGTAAAGAAATTAATTTAAAAGACACAAAAAACCTAGTTTGGCACAAAGAAACGTTATAATAGCCTACTAATAATAACTGCTTTTCTCCTAAAACTCTTTGAGGTGGCTCACTAGCCACTGTGTGTCCTAGAGTTGACTAGTAGATGTATTATCATTAAATTATAATATCAGTACTTCAGGATTACTAGGAGTACTTTACCCCCACATCCCCCACCCACAAACTTGGGAAAAAGAGAAATAAAACTGACATTTGAGAGTAAAACCTTAAGATTAAGATAGAAGGAATCAGAACAGTGACTCTCAAACTTTGGTATGCATAAGAATTTCCGGCAGGGCTTGTTAAAACAGATTCTTGGCCCCACCCCAGAGTTTCTGATTCCGTAGTGCTGGAGTGGAGGCTAAGAATTTGCATTTCAAACTGGTTCCCAGGTGATGCTCATGCTGCTGGTCTAGGAACCACACTTTGAGAACCACTAACATAAAGAGAAATAATGGCCAGAAATGTTAACAGTAAGGTGACTGAACATATTAACACTCTGGTCTTATCCTTCAGTCTTATGACTCGTTAATATGAGTTGGCCCCTGAAAGATGCCTCTATCCTCAATGAGATGACCATAGTAGGTGCCTGGGCTCATAAGCCAGGTTACGAATGTTCTACGGTGAGTTCTCTTAGGAAACAGTCTGCTTGCCGCTCTGTCCAAGGGAAGGTGATGCTTCATTCTGTCTGACACCAGGATGTGACCCAATATCAGAGCTGTGTGTTCTTGCTTCTACATATTGGGTCCTACTACTATAACACTTATTTACATTATCTGGCATTACTAATGGGAGGATAGTTGTAGATGTATAAAACGAGAAACCTGGGGCTGGCCCGGTGGCTCACTCGGGAGAGTGCGGTGCTGATGGCACCAAGGCCCCGGGTTCGGATCCCATATAGGGATGGCCGGTTCGCTCACTGGCTGAGCGTGGTGCTGACAACACCAAAACAAGGGTTAAAACCCCCTTCCCGGTCTTTTTTTAAAAAAAAAAAAAAACGAGAAACCTGGGGCTGGCCCGGGGGCTCCCTCGGGGGAGGGCGGTGCTGATGGCACCAAGGCCCCGGGTTCGGATCCCATATAGGGATGGCCGGTTCGCTCACTGGCTGAGCGTGGTGCTGACAACACCAAAACAAGGGTTAAAACCCCCTTCCCGGTCTTTTTTTAAAAAAAAAAAAAAAAAAAAAAAAAAAACGAGAAACCTGGAATGGAACTAGCTGGAAATAAGAGCCCTATATCTTTCAAAATATCTGTGTGATGATGTTTGAGCAGATCTGTGAGCAGCACCAGAATATAAACTTTCAGGCAAGAAGCGCTGTTGATGATGAGAATCGAGAGACCTGGATTTGGCTCTCACCTGTGAAGATACCATAACTCTTTAAAAAACAAAAACAAAAAAATGAAAAACAAAATCCAGCTTTTCCTCAGAATAAAGCAAATTAGTCATAAAATGAAATTACCTGCTTTGTAGCCAAAGTCTCCATTTCTAATCGCTTTTTGTTGACATATATTTCCTGTTCAAGGTGTTGTTTTGCCTTTTCTAATTCCTCAATTTTGTGATTAGCCTTTTGGTTATTTATTTCCTGCATTTTCTTCCTTTGAGACTCTTCTTTCTTTAAAGAATAATAATAAAAAATGACTCAGGGAAAAAATTACAAAGCTCTTTTTCTAAAATAGTACCAAAAAAAGTACGAAAGTCCTTTTCTTTAACCAATGCACAAGAAATTATTCACTAATCAAAAAGCTGCCCTATAGTTTCTCTATTTCATTCAGGTTAACTAATCTAACTAAAAATAAATATCACTGGTCAAACTTTTTAGAGTACTCGCCTCTGAAATGGATGTCCGGGAATGTAAGATTGCACAACTCAAGTGACTGAAGGACAGAAGCCTTTCTGTCCATTTTTCTTCTTCCAGTAGCCACTGTCTACTACCAACCTGCTTCCTAAAGTAAGATTAAAGAGACCAGGACTCACTGCGGCTTTCATCCTCTAATTTCTGACACTCCCCCAGTTCTCTTATAGGAACATAATCAGTTTTACAGCCAACATATCATTTGGGCTGCACTATCAGAGGAAAAAAAACAATTCTGTCCTTTACCAGTTCTGCTTCCAGTGCTTTTATTTTGCTTTCATATGCAGCTTTTTGAGAAGAAAGCTCTTGCTGAGCCATTTCTTTTGCAATTTGGATTCCTTGCATCATTTCTTCCTTTGCTTTCAACCTCGCCTCTTTTATTTCTGCTTCAAGTCTACAAAATACCAAGATATTTACAGAGTACATTGTTTAAGAATTCCTTATATACCATAACAGTTCTTAATCATATTTAAATGTTTTCCATTAAACAAAAGCTTAAATCTTAAAACTTAATTTCTGACACTATCAACAGTGTTCTTAAAATTTTCATTGGCTCAGGGCCAGCCTGTGGCTCACTTGGGAGAGTGCGGTGCTGATAACACCAACGCCACAGGTTCGGATCCCTATACAGGGATGGCCGGTTGGCTCACTTGGGAGAGCGTGGTGCTGACAACACCAAGTCAAGGGTTAAGATCCTCTTACCGGTCATCTTTAAAAAAAATTTTTTTTCATTGGCTCTAGAATTGTTTGCACATATGAAAAAAGCCAGCATGAAAATTCGCTTATTTCTAACTTAGTTACTGCTGCAGATGCCTGATATTTACATAAATATATTTTTTAAATGTTTAAGAAAAATAAATTATATAAAAATATAATGTTATAATAAATACTGTAATAATTAGCTAACATTATAGTAAACACAAAACAAGGGTATTTTATGTTAAACTAACAAAAGAACAAAAATTGTATTTTTAATTTATGTTTAGGTCATAGATTAGGAAAATATTGAAATGTCACTAAAAACATGATACGAGAGTTGGTAAAGCAGAAATTGTACCCTATATTTTCAACCACTTAAAATAATTTCACGTTTTGATAAGTCAAAACAGTAAACTAGCTTTATCACCTCTCAATGCACAGGGAAAAAAGCATCGGTGATTATAGAAAACAAAAAAACTGCTTTCTTCTCCATAAAATCAATGTTTTAGTAACTGCACTACATAGAAATTTCCATTCCCAGTTTTACTGAAAAAAGAATAAGAATGTCAAAAGAAAGAGGGCTATCAGTTACTAGGGGCCAGGGAGAGAGAATGGGGAGTTACTGTTTCAGCTTGCGATGAAAAACTTTTAGAAATGGATGATGGTGATGACTGCACAACAACGAAGGCACTTAATGCCATTGAACTGTACACTTAAAAATGATTAAAATGGTAAATTTTATGTTCTGTATAATGTACTACAACAAAAAACTTTAAAGAGAACAAAAGCAGATTCAGGCTTCTTAAAAGATGACAAGGCAGGGTTAATCCCGTCTATGTTCATCATTCTTGATTCATCCTCCCTTTATCAAGACTTGTTGACTTTATCTCTTTTATATTTCTCTCCTGCCTCACCACACTATACTGATTTATTTTAACAGTCTCTTAACTGCATTTGCAGCCTGTCACCTTGCTCTACCTCTACTCTATTCTCCAGACTTGGGTCATGGTGATCTCTCTAAAATGAGATTCTAATCATGACTGTTCCATATGTGCTTCAAATTCTTTAATGGTTCCCTTATCCTTTAAGATAATGTCCAAACTCCTTAGCATTTTAGCTGTGCAGGCTTTACCATTTAGCTTATAAGGATACTGCTTAAGCCTGAAATCCTACAACATTGCAAGAACTAAAACTGGAGCAAAAGAAGAAAAGAAAAACAAACATACCCTCTCCCAATCTTCCCCTAACTTCTAATAATCTCTTGGGACTGCTCCAGGGGACATCTTCTAATCCTCTAGAAACCTTCGACAATCCCTGGTCAGGGCCAGGTGTCACCCCATAAGCTTCCACATCATACAGGTTTCTGTCAGACCATTCTGTCACCACTGTTTGTCAGCCCCTGAGATGAATTCCTCCAGCATGGGAGATAAGTTTCAATTATTATTCTTTGTATCCCAGCAATGGGTACAGTGACAGACACATAACACATATTCAATAAATGTATGCTGAATGAATGAATGTACCAAGGGAGAACATTTTATCACTAGAAACCAGCACCCACAGTGTTAACTACTGGAGTTAATCACAAGTGATTAACTGTGTTGCAGACCTCTCTCATACACTTACTATTTCATATCAGTAACAATACTTACTGTGATCGCTGTGCCATGAGCAACTCATTTTTTGCAAATTCAAAGTCTTTTGGACCCTCGCTTGTAAGAGTATCTCTGCCCAATGGTCTTTTTCCTTTCTGGACTTCCACTGGATGATTAAATCTAAAATAATGATCTCCACCAAGAATCACCCGATCACCCTAAAGCACACAAAAAAATTTACTATTTGAGGTGAGTCTGAACCAAAAAATTATAGGAGAAAAATCATTATGCTCAACAATTCAAAATAATCTAGTATTACTAATCATAAACATAAAAATCATAGCGATTAACATTTATTAGATACTTTCTTAATGCCAAACACTGCATGAAGCACTTTACATACATAATTATCTCATTTACGTCCCACAACAACTCAGTGAGATACATATTATTATCCCAATTTTAGGAATGAAGGAACTAATGTGCACAGAGCTTAATAATAGTAATAGATATTCACTGCGAGTTTACTATTTGCAGACATGATTCTAAGAACTACACACAAATTATTTCATTTGATCCTCTGCTACTCCTAAAAGGTAGGATATATAGTGACCATATGTTTCAGCTGCCTGCAACAGACTGATTCATGCCTGTTCTTCTAGCAAATTTATTAATGATGCTCTATAAAGTGTCCTCATTTGGGTGATATTATTTAATCATCTAGGTAGATAATCTGCCAAAGGTCATATAGCAAATGGCAGAAACAGGGCTTCAACCATGGCCGCCCTGATTCCAAAGCCCAGCTCTTTATAGGACACATAATGAAGCTGTCAGTGGTCTGCTCTTCAGGTACTGGCTCACAGAAATATAACTTTTGTCTTTGCACAAAGGAAGACTATTAATGAATTAATAGGAAAGAAAATTTTTGAAATGGAAAAGTGCTTGATCTAGTTCAACTTCCTCATCTTACAGAGAAGAAAATTGGGACTTAAATAAATTAAATGATTTGCCTTAAGTCAAACAGTTTCTTATACTGTACCACCCATCAACTTACATGATGTAATACTGTGGATTCCAAAATATGTTTTCCATTTACATATGTCTTTGCTTCACCAACTGGGACAATACTCACTGTCCCACCAAAATTTTTGATGGTACTGTTAAAAAAAGATGTACATTGTTACAATTACAGGACACATTAAGAAGTAAGGAAAAGGCAATATCGGATAATCTTGCTTGGGTTATTCCTTTAGTGTTAAGGTCCGTATCAATTTGTAACAACCATGACTTAAAATTATTTTATTTTCCTCCAGCTATATTTTGAAGGTTGGAGAAAAAAACCTGGCCTCTCTTGCAATCCACCAGTGGTGGGAAGAATTTTCACTGTATGTATTCTGACTATAACTGCTTTAAAAAAAAAAAAAGATAAATAACCCTCCCTGGCAAAAAAAATACATCGAAAAAAATTCAACAAAAAAAAAGTTAAAATATTGACAATGATTTCCTATGAACAGAACAATTTTAAGTGTTTTTATTTTTCTAAGTTTCTAGTGTTATATATGAGCTTTAATAACAACAAACATTTTTCCCCACTTGAAAAATGGGGAAATACAAAGGAAGGAATAGCATAGAGATAAAAGCATACTCCTTAGTCATCTAATTAACTGGAGTCTGACTATAAGATGATATTGTGGAAAATCACCTACAAAAGCTACATATTCCTTTGAGTTTTTTTATTCAGAGAATAGGAATGAAACTCCAAACTCCAATTCGTTAATCCAATCCAGTTGGATTAACTGGATAGAAGAAAAGAAAAAGAAAACTGTGGCAAAAGCTGAGTCCTAACCAAAACCCTCCAGCTGTTGGTAGGCTACCAAGATCTGTAATTAGGGATTAAAATGGCCAATTAATATATGAAAAGATGCTCAACCTCATTATTAATCAATGAAATGCAAAATGAATCCACAATGAGATACTATTTGACATTCACCAGATTGGCAAAATTAGTCTGACAGTCCTAAGTGTTAACAAGTATGTGGAGTAACAGGTAACAGTTACACTCATGACAATGGGAGTAGAAACTGATAATCACCTTGGAAAATGATTTGAAATTACCCAGTAAAGTTGAATATAAACATACCCTACAATCTCATATCTCTACTCTTAGACATATAATTTAAGAGTGCTTCTTAAACTTTAAAAATTATTATAGCAAAATTAGAAAATCATCATATTTGTACAGCACATTGAAGCAAACAGAGAGACTGCTCTCTGGTCCGACAGCTCAGACCTCCCGAGTCTCTACCAGCTGCCCTGAGGGTTCTGAGAGTCACCGTTTCAGCTTACTATCTGGGAAACGTACTCTGGAGAAACTTCCCACATTTGTGCCGGGTGACCTGTACAGGTATACTCATAGCAATATTGTGGTAGCACAAAATTAGAAACAACCCAAATATCTATCAACAAAATAGATTGTAATGAGAGATAAATTCATACAATGAAATACTTCACAGCAGTGAAAATGAAAGCATCAACATACACAAACCTTGGAAACACAATGCAAAGCCAAAAGAGTTTACAAACACTATCATCCCCCAAACATATAGAAGTATCATCCCATTCAAGTGAACAAAATTCACGTAAAACGAAATTTTTGAATTTGTCAAACCAACCAAAAATTCTGCCATATAAGATGGATGGAAGTTTACTTTTATGGCCATCATTGTAATTCTAAGAAAAGAAATTATCCCTCAATCAATAGGCTAAGTACATCAAAACAAAAACACAGAGAAAATATATAGTACTTTATATTGAGAGTAACTGATGTATGTATTGTCCTTACAAAATGCTGAAAATGTCTGTTTGTTCTGGCTAAAAAAATGGGTCTGAAGAAGTAGAACAAAGAATCAGTATAAATGAATACTTCATATGAAGGACCACATGTTATCAAGATATGGAAGCCTACTGAAAAATCAACAGGATTTTTTTTTTTTTTTCTCCTTTTTGTCTTTTTTCGTGACTGGCAACGGATCGCAACCCTCAGCGTCGCGCCCGTACCGGACCAGGACCGGCAACGGGATTGCAACCCTCGGTGTTGCTCCCACACCTCGCTCAGCCAGTGAGCGGGAACCGGTCTGTATGTGGGATCCGAACCCTCGGCGGGAGCGCCACCGCGCTCCCAAGCGGCGCACTGTAGCAGTGCGCCACCGGGCCGGCCCCAGGATTTTTTTTTTTAAGAAGACTAACATACCAATGATCATCAGCAATCAGCACCCCAGATAACTGAATATCATGGCCTGAGTTTGGTTTATACTTTCCAACTGTAGTTGTCCCTTCTTTTATCATATATAGCAGCATTTCCGATAGTTGTGGATCTTCATTGAGATTAACGAGGTTTGGCAAATGGTTGTCCATTTGAAATGTAATTCCTGCTTTCTGTTAGAAGTAAAAAAAAAAGTCTAATCTTAACCACAAGCATGAAATTGTTAAATTCGTCTAAAACGAACTATGTTAAATATTAGAATCATTCTATGTGAAGTCTCAATAAATTAAAGGTTTCTTAGAATCTGTCCTTCTTTCTTAGAATCTCTCCTCCATGACTTCCCTGTGACTGTTACCATCATACTCTCAGACTCTTAGGAGTTATATTGACCACTCATTTAACAATCCATCATCACCAAATTGGGTCTTCTCTTATTGACCAATTGTCCTTGGAACGACTCAACTCCTTCTGTCACACCTTCACAGCCATCACCTTCATTCAGGCCTTTATCAACTCTCAACAGCACTACTGCAGCAGCCTTCTGATTGCCCTATCAGCAACTTCTGTGTTCAATCTGTCTTACAACCTGTATCAGATTCTCTTGAAAGTGTACTCTCAAAATATCAGTCTCGTAGTCAAACACTTTCAATGGCTTCTCACTTCCTACGAGACAAAACTCAAATTCCTTCGCTTGGAAATCAAGTCCTTAATAAACTAATCACAACATATCTTTACAATTTTATCTCCTTATGACCTTGTATTAACTGCTTGTCCCAACAAAACTGACCCACACACCCTCTTCACAGGACAGCTTAAACTTTCCCACCTTTACTCTCATACAGTTTTCCCTTCCTAGAATGCTTTCTTCCTCTTCTCTACCTACCTAAGCTTCTAAGCCCAACTCAAACCCCACCCCTTCTATGAAGCTGAACAGCCATCTACAAGGAATTTTCCCTCCTTCCTCTGAATTCTTACAGCACTCCCCTTCCAATCATTTGAAGTATTTTTTTTATGGCCACTACCCTTGCTCTTGACTCATCTTCTCCAATCTCCTTTAGAATTTCACTCCATTAAGGAGTTTCTGACACCTATAAAAATGTTCAAGTATCTTCAATCCTTTAAAGAAACAAAAACAAAACAAAAACTTTCCCTTCCCCCTTCCCTGACTTCTACAATTCTCTGTCAAAGAGTCCCTATGTGTAGTTCTACTTCCTCATCTCTTAGACAATCCTCAACCTCTGTCATCTGGCTTCTGCCTTCACCACTACAATGACCTCATAGTTTCACAATGCATTGAAAAATTTCTGAAACCTGGGAGTCATTCTTAATTTTTTCCATTTCTCAGTACCCACATTAAAAAAAATAAAAAGTAAAAATTCCTGATCCTATCTATTTTACCTCCTTCCTATCTCTTAAATCCCACTCCTCCACTACACATTCCTATTGCCACTGCCGTACTCCGGCTCTCATCATCTCTTGCCTCAACCACAGCAACAGCTTCCTAAATGAGTCATTTTCCCTGCCATCATCAGTCTTTCCTCCCTCAAATCCACCTTTCGCATTATTACTAGAAGAATCTACTTAAAACAGATGTCTGCTCATGTCACTCCTCTTCCATTTAAAACCCTTTGGTGTCTCCCTGTCATCTAAGTTCAAGTTCCTCACTATTTCATGATCTGAATCTTACATCTCTCTCCAGCCTAAGCTCTGTCACCAGCTTCAGTTTCTAACCATATGAAACTTCTTAATTCTTTGGACATCCAAGCTGTGTTGTGCCTCTATGCCTCTGAACAAGGTATTCCTTTGCTTAGAAAATTCTGACTTAATCTAGCAAATTCCTGTTCATTGTGCAAAACCCTGCTTACTTGTCTCTTTCTCCTTGAAGTCTTCCTTGATAAACACCCTTCTCAAAGTTAATTACTCCCTCCCCGCTCCTGCCTTCCTACCTTTTACATACTTTTCATCGCATTAGGTTGAACCATATGAAACTGCCAGAGTTCAACCATTTTTTGCCTACAAAACTGGCAGTTCATATGGTTCAATCTAATCAAAACACACTGCATTTCGGTCTTCTATTTACATTTCGTAAACCGCCCTCTGGATCACAATCTCACTGAAGGCTGGAACCGTATAGGGAATAGGGCCTCTATTCCCAGCACAGCACAGTTCGTTTATATATTAACTTTTCCATTAGCTTATGGTCTCTAAGCAATCACAACCTTGATCTTAATACTTCTTTATATTAATTCTCCTTATGGTATTGCTTTGCACAGAGTCAGTATATAATAAGTATTTGAGAAATTAAGTTTACCTATTTATTGGCATATTTAATTTATTTTCAAATCAGTTTAGAAAGTTGAAATGATACCTGCAACTCCTTTGTTTCTTGAAGTTTTCTCTTTTCAGCTTGTTCAAACTTTTCTTTCCACACTCTTTCCAAAGAGAAAAAAAATAATATAGTTAAAAACATCCAGGTATATAAGACTGAGAATCAAGAGACAACCAATGAAGACGAGGGAACTACCTAGTAATATTTAAAATATGATAGTCTGGGAGTGGGCTGCTCTAGTCAGATGGAAGGTAGGGAGAAATACAGACTCAGTATCTTCTTAAGGTCCCAACCAGTCCTATGATTCCACAGCAACATATTTAACATTTAAAATATTGACTATATTCCACCTTTGCATTTCTGCCATGTCCTTCTCCTGTTGATGAAGCTTCATTCTTAAGGATGTTATTTCTTGCCGATAGAGCCTGTATCGTTCTGGGTCAATATTCCGACTGTTTCTCTGAGCAGCTTTTAGCTTTTCAATTTCTGCTTTCAGTTCTAAAGATTTGGAAAACAACGCATGATTAATAACATTTGATATGTAATAATTCCACAGTAGGTATAATCCTACAATCTTCTATTTGAAGTTTTGAATATTAATAAATAAGGGCTGGCTGGTTAGCTGAGTTGATCAGAGCATGATGCTGATAACACCTAGGTCATGGGTTCAGATCACTGGCCAGCTGCCAATAAATAAATATTACTAAATAAAATATTTGGAGAAATCAGGTTTACTTTACTTACATGATCTATAAATGTCTACCTGGCCTTAATCTGAAGCAGTGCTCCCATATTAATGAATTTTCCCCCTTCATTAGTAGGATGGCCATATAATATATTGTACACAGTGGGGCACTTTTGAGAGCAAACGGGGTACTATTAAATACACTGGGGCCACAGACATAAACTAGGATTGCCCCAGGAAAATCTTACTCATAAAGACAAGTGAGATAAAGATCAAAGATTTTTTAAACTGGAATTTAGAATACTTAGTTTTAACAAAAACAGTCCCATTTGTAAGACAGAAGCGATCCAAAAGGGAAAGGATGGACTATGACAAAGAAAACTAGATAAATGGGGGCTGGCTGGTTAGCTCACTTGGGAGATTGTAGCGCTGGTAACACCAAGGTCACAGGTTTGGATCCCTGTACCGGCCAGCCACCAAAAAAACAATAAAAGAAAAAGAAAACTGATTTCTCTCTGGCTCATACCTCTGAAGTCTCTATCAGTTTCTACTGCTAAGAAGGGCCAAAGAACAAAAGGGTATGAAAAGATGGTAGTTCCACATAAACAGAGATAAAATTTGTACAAATCGAGATCCCTTGCATGTATTAAAGTTATCCTAAGTGAGTGATTACTGAGAGACAAATAGAAAACAGTATTTAGCATAAATGAAGTAAGGCCTATGCTAGAAACTCAAGCTCAAATAGCCTTTGGATCAATGAACTAAGCAAGAGCAGAGCTAATAAATGGAATGACAATGGAGGAAAGGTCATAAAAGAAAAATAATAACTTTATTGTTCTTTTGCTGCACACATCTATGACTTGGTCTGTAGAATTATTTTTTTTATGCTTGCTGTTTCCCCCTTACCCACACTCTATTTTCTATGGTCTTTTTCTGATTGTTTTCCCCCTTTCCACTTATTCCCTTTCCTGCTGTCCTTCCACCTGTCTTGCTCCTCACCGTAGGATGGTGACTAGATCTATTATACAAAGGTATGGTAAACAAGAATCTGATTTTCTTAAACTGCATATTTTAAGACCAACTAATATTGGAGCCTAAACCATGGCAAGATAATTTTTGAATTTTGAGAAAAATATTCACCTCTAATTAACTTAGCATTCATATCTTCATTTACTTTGGCGATGTTGACTATCAAACGGGCTTGGTTAGCATATCTAAGTGTGCTTAATGTTTCTTCTATGTTGCTGGCAGCAGGACTGATCGTAGCAATCATTGTAGTTTTTGAATTTCCACCCAGACTTTCCTTTAATAGCCTTCAAGGAAAAAAAGTCATAATTAGACTTAGCTTCTACAACAACCTAATAACAGTAATTATCTAGAAAGCAGAAAACAAACTAATAGGGTATATAATACAGTATTATACTCTTTACTCAAATGCCATTTAAAATTTTTTTTAGTATTTCTGGCTATTTTTAAGTCTCATAAACACTATTTTCTCCTATACTTTTTATATTGTCTCACAATGCAATAATCTGTGCAGAGGTTTTAAAATACGGTTAACCATCAAATATTTAGAAAGATACCTCTCCCCTTATGAAACTGTGAGCTACTCTAGAAACTAAAGGACTGTGTCTTGGTCATCTTTGTATTTCCAGTGCTACCACAACCTTTGAAGCAGGTGCTCAATAAATGTTGAAAATGATGAATGGACATATAAACAAAAGTTCTGTATTATACTGCATGCAAAAGTTTATATTAGAGAAAAAAATGTATGAGACTTAGAACATCTTTTATTAGTGCAGAACGAATTTCACTATTCTTTACTTTCAAAAGCCATGAAAAAAAATCAGATTTTACCTTACAGGTTTCAAGGAGGCAACCACATTGTAACAAATCAATTATAAAGACATATTACTGTCAAGTAGAGATGAGGTCCTTATCCTAAATGTATATTAATGCTTATCAGAATTGAACACTAAATCTACACAGATGTAATTTGAATGTAATGTATTGGAAATTAAATATATATTCACTAATGAAAACACTTATCGAGCACCTATGTGCTAGTCACCATGTACATGTACTAATAAACAAAATTATTCAATTTTACTTTATACACACAGCAATACGTTTGGTAATACCATATATGTTCGAACATATTAGTGCCTAATTAGTTAGGTACTAATAATAATTAAGTATAAGGATAGTTGTTTACACTCATACAGCACATATTATGCATTAAGAGTTTTACATTAATAATTGAATCCTCACTATAACCCTAAAAGATAGGTATTGATATTATCCCTTTTTTACAGATAAGGAAACAAGCTAGAGTATTAACTGATTTTTCCAAAGTTACAGAGCTTATAAGATGCAGAGCTGAGATTCAAATACAGGTAGTTTGGCTCTAGAATTCATCTGCTAACCACTTCTTTTCTATCTCAAAGTTATATGAAGTCAGTCTATCATTCTCTTCCCCACAATATTCACTGTATTTTATACAATTCTTTATACTTCAAAAGATACTTGCCATGTTAGAACAGATTCACGATAAGGAATAAAAACTCTCTTTCCGTTTGCTTGTTCAGAGAGTGCAGATATAACCTTTCCCAGAGTTAGCAAGGACTTGTTAATACTCACACCTTCCTGTATATAAAATAAAATTTAAAAAATAATCACAACCAAAAAAGCATGTATCACTTTTTAAACCACAGCAATGCAATCTGTAAGCTGCAGATAAAAATACATTTTCTAGATTAAGCATATTCGGTTTGTACTCTCCTAAAAATAATGCCCACAGGAATAAACGTCAACAAAATAAGAAAACCATCCCATTTACCTTCAGTCGATCTCCACTAGTGTGAGCCCTGGAGCAGCGCTCGCTGCCTGCCAGATCAATTAGGTTTATGCGGCTTGTTATTCTGTGATCGTGTTCTTCCCCTTCCACAAATTCTGTCTACAGCAAAATGATATTAAAATAATATAAGTTCTTTTATGACTTTCCATCAATATAAGTCTTTAAAAGGAAAAGTTATACAAGATTACAAATCACTCATTTATTTTTAAAGCCATCCCTTCTTAAATCTGTGACAATCTGTAAGGCATAAATATTCACAGTCTACTGAAAAGAATACACTGAGCAGTGGTTAGATTATGCCAAAATTTAAAAAAATGATTTTAAAGGGATTAAGATCAATAACTATTCAGTTACATTAAAGAAACAACCAAAATAGAGAAAAAGCTTAATGCAAAATAATGTTGCTTATCCCAGCATTATAATAGCAAAACATTTAAAAACAATACAAATGCCCAACAGTAGAGAAAAACTTGAGGAATTTTAATAGTTAACGGGATATTATTTAGCTATTAGAATTATTTTGCAAAATTGTTACAGCATAAAATTGTTAGATTTTGTGAATTTAAGTGTGATTATAAAACAACCATAAGATTATATACCAAAATGTTTAGAGGGTGTTATTTGAGTAGTGGAACCTATGGCTGAATTTCTTAAAATCTTTTACATTTTAATGTTTTTCCAAATACTCTATAACTACCATATATATTGATAATATATCATATATTGATATGATCATATGAATGACATCATGATAAATTAATAATCATCTATTATAGATTTTAAAAAACAGTGATAAATAATATATTACCATATATACCAAAAGTCATTCAAAGTTATTGTGTATATTTCCTAAAATCCAATTATGTTTATATGTTCATATGACTATACTTTTACCTTTTGATTTGAAGAAGAAAATAAGAAAAACATGAAACCTAAATGTATTTACTATCTTACCTACGAAAATAATCAACAAAAAAAAATACCTTGGTCTGGGTCATCACCAGGGTAAACACTGAATGAGACCGTGAGCTTTTATCATTCATACCAGTAGCAGCAGTTGCTCTTTGTTTATTTCCCAATTCTAGCCAACTCTAATAAGAAAAAAGGAAGGGAGGTCAGATCAGCAGACTGTAATTTATTGGAAGAACAAATTAAGAAACAACAAAGAAAGTACATTTGGTAACACATACACATTTGTAATTAGCTTATGAAATGAAATTAATAAGTGTTTATCTTTTAATGATTTGCATTCCCATTGTCTATTTTTTTTTCTGTCACAGAAATCTGAAGCAAGAAATAATATATAAATAATATATATTATAAAATATATGACATATAATATACAATACTATATATTATAAAATATGTAATAAATAATAGCTTTTTAAAAGGCTATTTCTATCATTCTAAGCTGACATGATAGTCAATATCTATTTTTAATTCAGAAGAGCAATTCTTTTGATTAAAGCTTAACTAAAAAGATCAGTACATGATAAATTAACAAGATTAACTTTTTATTTACTCAAACAGCAATTAAGGAGAAATACTGTTATGAATATTTATGATTATGCTCTTTCTACATAGTGAAGAGACAAAATACAATTAATCTTACCTGGATATCAGAGTAAGAACTGACAACATTCCTATTTTTAAAAAGTAAAAAGACAAAACAATTTTACTGATGATTATACTGTTGCTCTCGTAAAACAATAATAACCTTTCAATTACATAATTATTCTCTGAAGTAACAGACAAATGCACAAATACTGAGGTTCCCAGGATCTTTATTTTCCCCATTCTTAAAGAGCAAGAAATAAAATAATTCTTTAATTTTACCAAAAAGTACACTTGTTCTGAATACAATGAAACATCTTAGCATCTTAACATTATAATATTCAATTCTAAATCATAACATCAAAAGATGTATCTTAACACATATGTATATGCATAGGTACATGAGGGTACTTCAAAAAGTTTGTGAAAGGTAGAGAAGTAAAAGATACCATGAATCTTTCCATGAAGTTTTTGAAGTGCCCTCATATGTGTGGGCATGGGTGTACATGGGTCCCAACATAAACCCAGATTTATTTAATGGAGCTAAATTTATACCTAATTATTTTTCCTTTCCTTTAAGAAAAGCATTTGGAGTGTTAAAAGCGGCAGTAAATGACTCTTGGCACGTAGCAAACTCTTAACTCAACTTGGCACCTTCTTTCCTCTTCAGGAAAAATAAGTAGTAGGTATAAAAAAGTAGTAGGTATAAAAATGCAAGCTGAGAGGGAAGACTTAATGTGGAAAGGAGAGGGTAAAAGAAAGAAAAATCAAATATTTATTTCATACTCAGTATAATTAGTACTCTATGCTACATTATAAGTGCTGTGAAAGATACGAACAAATATAAAAACAAGGAACTAACATTCTATTTGGAAAAGAGAGGGAAATTTAATTAGACAATATTAGGGGTAGAAGACTAAATAGTTATCCAGGGTTTCTAAGTTGGGAAGGCAAATGAGAACACAGAAAGGATTACGGGAGAACAAAATTCACTCTACTCATTTGTTTTCTCCTCCTTGCTTTTGCTGAGCCAAACACTCACATTGACAGCGCTTCAACATACGGACCGGAAATGGGATGCTCCCTTACTCTCAGCTACAAGAAGCAAATATTAGCATCATTAAGAGTATGACAAATACTTAATACTTAAATTTTAAATGATCCTTTTTTCTATATTTTGAGTTTAAGATAAAGACATTGGTCTTTGCTTTATCCAGAAATAAATACAAAGGTTCTCACAAAAACAAAACTGTAAGACATTAAGAAATGGCTTCAATACCAAAAACTGTACATAGTTGCATAATACACAACAATGTATTGTAACATCAAATTTCTTTCTATTTTTTATTCTTAAATTAAATCCTGCAGTAGCTATTATTTTTATGCTTTTAAATATCTCTTTAAAACACATTTATTAAATTTCAGACATTTAATTTTTTTCTTCATTGTTACATTATACATATGTTCTCTGTGACCAGAAATTTTAAAACACACAGATCATAGAAGAAAATGTCATGTATTATGTAAGTTTCTCAATGCCGCCAATAGTAAACCACACAACTCTGGGCAAGTGAAGAAGGCAAACGACTTCTTTAGATTTTCATTTCTTGTGCTTCAAGGTCCTTTGCAAAATTAAAAATTTTTAATTCTAATAGGAGTTTTTAAACAGCTAATGTTTTGTGAAACTTTCTGTTTCACAGATTACCTACAAGATATCAATTTGCTAAATAAGCCACTGAAATACATATTTTATAAAAATAATACAACTTTAAAAACTTTTACTACTTTTTGGCTTGCAGACTATTAGGGATATGGTATTTGACTTATATGGTCCAACTAAATCTTAGAACAAATATTTTATCTTTAATTATTACACAATACTTGATTAAGATGAAAAGAAATTAATTTTTAATAACTATTTTAATTTCCACTGGTGATAATGTTCAGCTTTTTCCTAAATAACAGTGTAGTTTAGGCTATAGATTCCAAGCATTTGCTATCATATAACAGCATTTTAGTAAAATTTTAAGCCATATCATCTGCAGAATTCATATAATTACATGCATTTATAAAAACAGAATTTAAAAACCAATAATAAGTTGTTTTAATCTTACCGGTTGCTTTCTCTGCCCATTTTCACCTTTACAAACCAGAAGGTCATGAATTTTTTCATTATATACTTCAAAGAAGCTCATTTCAAGGTGATAGTTGACCTAGTAGGAATAGAAACACAGCATGCATTTTAAAATTCTTCGCATATGTTGCAAATCATATATCTAATACGTGTCTAGCATCCAGAATATATAAAGAACTCTTACAACTCAACAACCAAAAGACAAACAGCCCCCAAATTAGGCAAAGGACGTGAATAGACATTTCTCCCGAGATGATATACAAATGACCAACATGCATGTGAAAAGATGCTCAACATCATTTGTCAGGAGGGAAATGCAAATCAAAAACACAATACAAAACTACATCATGCCTACTGGGATGGCTATAAAAAAAAATAAACGAAAACAACAATGTTGATGAGGATGTGGAGAAATTGGAACACTCCTGCAATGCTGGTAGGAATGTAAAACGGTGGCAACCACTGTGGAAAAGAATTGGCAGTTCCTAAAAAGGTTAAACACAGAATTACCATATGACCCAGAAATTCCACTTCTATACATCCAAAAGAATTGAGAACAGGTATTCAAGCAAAAACTTTTACATCAATGTTCACAGCAGCACTATTCACAATAGCCAAAATGTGGAAACAACCCAATTGCCCATCAACTAACAAATGAATAAACAAAATTGGTATATCCATACAATGGAAAACTACCCAGCCATAAGAAATGAGGTACTGATGCATGCTACATCATGGATAAACCTCCAACACATTACACTAAGTAAAAGAAGCTGGACACAAAAGGTCACACATTACATGATTTCATTTACATGATATTTCCAGAACAGGTAAATCCACAGAGACATAAAGTAGATTAGTAGTTGCCAGGGGTTGGGAAGAAAGGGGAATTGGTTGTGACTTATGGGGTACAGGGTCTCCTTCGGGGGCAATAAAAATTTTTCAGAATTAGAGAGAGCAATTGCATAACATTATGAATGCACTACATGCCACTGAATTATACACTTTAAAATGATTGACTTTACATTATATAAACTTATCAATAAAAAAATATTTTAATAAGAACAACAACAAAAGTCTTTGCACTTCTTATTAACTTCTAGGTAAGGTTTGATTCAATTCAGTATGTATTTCTTACATACCTACTATGTGTATGGCTTTCAGCTATAGTTAGAAGAATATAAAGACAAGGTTCTTGCCCATAAGGCTACCATCTCAGAGATATACAATATATGCTGCAATAGATAAGACAGAGCCATAGAAAATTATGAACCAAAATGAGAGATAATGACTATAAATAAAATGACTAATCAGAAAGAGGAGAAATTAGGATGGCCAGAGAGGCTGGGGAAGGAGAAAATAGGACATAAAGCATGAGAGATGCGGTAGACTGGACCAGAAAGAGTGGGTAGGGCATTCCTGGGTGAGGGCAGCAGCACCTGAGCATGGCATATGCTCAGGACAGGAAAGAAACCCTGTATGTTGACATTTGATCTAGTAAGATGGAACCTTAAATCCATAATTCTTCCACTTTGGGGAGAAAAGCAACTATCCGACTAAGTGGGGCTGAGCTTCTCCTTTTGACTCAGAAAGAAAGGGTATAGAGGCCAAAGGGGGGAACCTTTGCTTCCATAATACTTTTTTGACAGTTCGGGCATGATTTCCTTATTAGAGAAATAAATTTCATCCATTGGCCTAGAAGTAAATCAGCAAGCATCCAATACTGACAGAACTGGAAGCTTCAAGGGGGTTTCAAAGAGATTTAGGTTCAATTAACCAAATATTAATTGTGCCCCACTAGGTACAAAGCACTTTTCTAGGAGCTGTGGAAAAATGTAAGATGAATTGGACATAGTCTTCATTCTGAAAGAACTCACAGTCAAGTTGGAAATGCAATACAGTACATGAATAATACATGGCAGAATATATTTGGTGCCATGTAAGAGGACAAAGCACTTCCAAACAAAGAGACCAGCTATATGGGAATACCATGTAATCATAAGGCCATTTACAAATGCTGTGATATAGGTATAGGGGCTCGGAATTCAACGAACGTGTATTAATGCCTATTTTACATAAAATAGTATATTATGTTATGGGGTCCCAAGAGGTCTTAGCGATGAAAATGTAGCGGGAGATGAGTTGGGAAAGGTATCTGGGGCCACATTAAAGAGGACGTATCTTTTTTTTCTCCCTTGAGGCGCCTCCATTCTGGCTATACCACCTTTATTATCTTCATTCACATACTATCACCCTCTACCATCCTGAATAATCTCAAAGTTGGTATAACCATAATGATTTAGTTGGGCTCACTACGTGCCAGCCACTATTCAAAACCTTTTATGTATATCAACTCATTTAATACCCACAACAAACCTATGAGAAAAGCATTATCATCATCGACCCTATTTTCTGTTCTGAAACACAGAGAGGTTAAGTAAATTGTTCAAGGTCACACTTCTAGTAAAGCAATGAATGGAACTCAGATTCAAACTCAAATGATCTGTCTCCAAAGTCCATGCTCTTAACCATTCATTATACTATATTCCTCAGTGATATAGTCGTTCTATGCAAAATCTGAGCCTCCCAGTTCTGTGAAATCATTCCAAAGACCTCTGCCTCTCCTTTGCTTTCTCTCTCTCTGGCGTCCATTACCTTCAAACTGCACTCTCTCTAAAATCTTAGCCAATAAAGAACTCTGACCCACAAGCCCACAGCTTTCTCACTCTCTTACTTACACTAAACTTGGACTTGAATCATTTCATCTTATAATCTCCAGACCACCACGTTTCTACTGATCCCTCTCCTCTTCCTATTTTCAATTTAATTACTGGGAGTAAGAAGCTGGTAGGGGGAGAATAAGGAGATAGAACTGGACAGTATATCTATAGAGAAGACAGAACTCATCATCCACTCAATTCTGCTTTTCTTCCTGTGTTCTCAATAAATGCCATCGATATCTACCCTGGTTCTCCAAACAGAAACATTGATTTCTCTCTCCCTCATCCTCCATTTCCAATAGTTAGCAAGTTGTACCAGTTCTACTTACTAAGATCTCTCAAACGTTTGTCCCCTTGTCCCCCGCTACCATCACTACCTTAGCTACGTTTCTTGACACGTCTTATACTGCTTACATGTCCCCCAGATGGTCTCTTTGTATCCAGTCCTACTTCCCTTCACACATTCTCCAAATTGCAGCCGGGGCTATCATTTTTTTTTTTTTTCTTTTTTAAGAGCAAATATGATCATATTACTTCCCTGCTTAAAATCCTTCCATAGCCTTCTAGATTCCTGGAAATATGGTTATAAAGTCCTTCACAAGCCAAGTTCCACCTGCCTTTCTAGTTTTATCTTACATATACAAATATAGTAATTTCAATTTTTTTGTTTCACAATCATCAAAAATTATCTACATACTACAAATAAATCTAAAAGTTCTCTCTATAAATATATTGCCAACAAGTTTGAAGACACTTGAATACACTGACTTTCCAAAGGCAGAGGGGAATTAAAGACACATTACATGTCACTGGCTTGGCCCTCCACCCTCAAATTCCATGCTCAAAACAAAGTAAGCAATGCATACATTCCCAAGAGCTCCCTGCTTTCTTGCTTTCAAATCTTTGCATGTGCCACTCCTCCTGCCTAGATCATCCTTCCCCCTCTTCTTCACCAAGCTAATAAATGCTATGTGCCCTTCAATGCTCAGTTACTCCTTCCTCTGAGAAAACCTCTCTCCAATCTTATACGTTCTTACTTACATTTCTGTCATAGCATTTACTTTAATTTATTTAGCATTTAACATTGTACTTGGCTGTTTACTGGCTGAATTCTCCTATTATACTCTCTTGACTCAGGAACTGGGTCTTTTAACTCCATACCCCCAAATCTAGCACACTATTTTCCCAATTTCCCCTAGAATAAGAGTGACTAGAAGAAAAGCATGAAAATTATAAAATCCCAAACTCTACCCCAGACCAACTGACTCAATCTCCAGAAGAGATTTTCAGCAAGAGCATGCATGTGCATACATGAACACACACAAACACACACACACACCTGCCCCTGCCACACCTGGTGATTCTTATAGTCAAGCAAATTTGAGGAAAAACTGGTCTAACATACTGCCTGGCAACAGTAGACGTTCAACAAATATTTGCTGAATGTATGAATGAATAAGTGAAAAGCAAAGCCAGCCCCACCTGCTCGGGTGTCATACAGTGGAAAAAGCATGGCTTTTAAAGTCAAATCTGGGTTCAAACTCCAGCTTCACTACTCTCTGCTTCACATTGTCCAAAAGTTTATGCGTGCTATCCTTAGTTAACTCTGTGACCTGCCTGACTGCAGAGACGCATATAATGGCACATAACTACCACACTGTGAGTCACCACACACACGCAAAAGAAATAAAGCAGAGAAAGGTATAGAAGACAGAAGGGATGACTCCGCTGTGACTGCCCACTGAGTATAACTGACTGAATTTAGAATCCCCATTTTCCCTCTGCATACCACTGTTTCAAAGGATCTTCCATTAAGTATTTCCTTAGCGGCCATGACTCTGATTTGAACTTGATTTGACTATTTTCTAAGCTGTTATGAAGCCTGCAGATATATGAGAACATACCTCTTGGGACCGTTTTTGGGCTACTTGAGCAAAAAGATCTTCACAAAATCTTGGAATTATTCCTGGTTCTTCACTAAATCCCATCATCCTGGAAAATACATTATGAATAAGGGGAAAGTAAAACTAATTAGTTTTTTTTGTTCTTTTTTATTCTTGTTGGGCAAAGGGGGCTGGGGAGGGAGTGAGGAGCAAGTTAATTAAATCTCATAGTTAAGAACCTGGGCTCTGGAACCAAATCTACCTGAATCCAAACCTTGATTCCACCATGTATTAGCTCTGTTACCTTGGACAAGATACTTAACCTACTAAACCTCAACCTCCTCTCTGTAAAATGGAAAGAATATAAGTATCTAATTCAGAGGGTTGTTATGAAAGAATACAGGCAGACTGTAGCACGGTGCCTGGAATATAGTAAGAACTCAATAAATGCTAAGCTCTATTAAAATTCTGAGTAGTTCCTTCTAGGACAGGTATTATTACCATAGCTACCATTTATCAGATGCCTGACTTTTAATTCTCACAGTAATGCTTACGTGTTAACCTCTCTGGGCTTCAGTTTACACAAGAAATATAAATGACAGTAAAATGGGGTCAATGACACTTATAAAGTTAACTGTATCTCATGCGTAAACTGAAGCCCAGAGGTTAAGTAACTTGCCCAAGTTTGTAGAACTAGCATATACAATGCATGAGATTTGAGCCCAGATCTGTGTGGTTTCAAAACTATATTCTTTCTACTAAACCATGCTGCTTCTCACAAAAGATTTAAACATTTCTGGATAATTGTAAGTGCAATACAACTTACGTATATGATTTTCCAGAGCCAGTCTGGCCATAAGCAAAGAGACAGGTATTGTAACCTTCAAAGGCACTTTCTAGGAGTGGTGCTGCTAGAGTCTTGTAGACGGTTGTTTGGCTAGCATAGTGAGGATGACATTCATCAAAAGACCACAACGAAACATCATACATAAAATTATAAATTTGTTTCATATCAGGGTGTTCCACAGTTATTTCTTCCGCATTCATGAAGACCACCTGGGATGCTTTTTCAATCTTCTCTCTTTAAAAAGAAGCACAAAGAAAAAAATCAAGTTATTGTCATTATTGTGGTTACTATTACTACGGAATATAACAGGGACCTCAAAAACTAATTAAATATAACATTCCTCCTTTAGTTTTATGTGGAAAATGCAGATCAGCAAACATAATTCTAGTGAGTTTCCAAATATGTTTCTTATAGCTCCAGTGTCACCAAAAGGAAAATGGAATTCCAGATTTCTTGTCCAGAAACCCTACCCTACTTTCACAAGATTTTTCATCTTTTTCTCTTGAACTATACCTTTTCCCATCCCATCTACTATAATCTACCTATACTCTTCAGTTCAAACCTGGAAACATCTTTATTATAAAGAAATTTAGGGGTACAGATCTATATAAAGCTGACATAAAAAGCAAACATAATTGCAACAAACCTCGTTGAATATAAGTTCAACTGAAAAGTCTCTTTTGGCTATTAGTTGTGGTCGCTGTTAATCCAAAGGTCTTTCCTCCTCCAGATTCTTTCCCTTAAAATCATAAATTTTCAGGGCCGGCCCGGTGGCGCACTGCTACAGTGCGCCGCTTGGGAGCGCGGCGGCGCTCCCGCCGAGGGTTCGGATCCCACACACAGACCGGTTCCCGCTCACTGGCTGAGCGAGGTGCGGGCCCAACACCGAGGGTTGCGATCCCGTTGCCGGACACGAAAAAAGACAAAAAGGGAAAAAAAAAAATCATAAATTTTCATGTCCATCCTTTTTCCATCTCATAGGTGGAAATCTTTTACCTTTAAATCAGAAATTATCCTAGAAGCCATCTGTCTCACCAATTTGACGAGCATCATTCCACCCCACTCTGCTTTCAGGGTTTATGTGATGAGTCTGGAATCAGGCACTCGGTCCCTTACTAAGTTCTCTTCTGTGGAGTCATCTGTCTTGGGTTTTGTCCCTACCAGCTCTGTTCTTTCTACTGCCTCTCCTCCTCTCTTTCAGTGTTCTTGAGGCTTTCCTGTTTGGCTTCCTGACTCTCTCAGATCAACCTTCCCTCATTTCTCTCCCCTTGTCACTAACCCATTTTCACTAAAAAGGACTTAGAGTACCGTATAATTTGCCTTTAATCACTGACCCTTTAGGTTTAAACTGGAGGTTCCTTCCCCAGTGCAGTGGTCACCACAACCTCTTCTATCTTGCTTAGATACACAGCATCAAGTTAAAAACTACTAACCCTGCAAAGTTTTTCACTGTCCTCCATTAAAATATTTTAAAATAATTAGATTCCTCATTCACACTTCATCATGTTCATCTTGTTCAGCCCTGTCCCTAATCTCTGTATATCCCACCCATGATCACTGTTAGAGAGATTTTTTGATCAAAATCAAATCTAATAAGGTATAACCACTACATATCAATTTATAACCACTATATATTAATTATAACCATAATTATAACATATAGTGGCATTTATAACCACTATATATTAATCGGAGATGACAACGATGATGACAACCACTCTGGGAAGAGTTTTAGAAGGACTTCTTTGGGGAATGAGTGACCTGTTATGGCTCTTTTTAAGGAAAAGGTAGAAGATTTCAACATATATCACGGATTTGAAAGCAGACTGCATTAGACACTTAAGTGACTCATTCAGACTTTTAAGTTTGGCCAGTTAGTGTGTACCACTCAGTCGGTTAGAGCTTGGTGCTGATAGTACCAAGGTCCAGGGTTCAATCCAGGACCAGCCAGCAAAATAAAATAAAATAAAATAAAATAATAAAATTAAATAACAAAATTAAATAAATAAAATTAAATAGAATAAAATTAAATAAAATAAAAAACAATAAAATTAAATAAATAAAATAATAATAAAATAAAATAAAATAAAAGCAGTATACCTAGAGAAACTTACATATACAAATATAGTAATTTCAATTTTTTTGTTTCACAATCATCAAAAATTATCTACATACTACAAATAAATCTAAAAGTTCTCTCTATAAATATATTGCCAACAAGTTTGAAGACACTTGAATACACTGACTTTCCAAAGGCAGAGGGGAATTAAAGACACATTACATGTCACTGGCTTGGCCTTAGATTTAAAAAGGTGTAACATACCTCTTGGTGAAAGGCCTTACACGTACGGCCACTGTCACTTGACTATTCTCTACTTTTAAGAGGTCTTTTTCTGTAGAGGTGTTCTGAACCGCACTTTCTTCTTCAAGAGGAAGTGTATTTTCTTGTGACTTTTCCTTTTTATTTGCAAGAAAAGAGTCTTTTGGCCTTTGTCTAACTTGAAGGTTAGGCATCCTATTCTTCAGTACTGAGGCAGCTGGGCTCTCAAACTGAGGCGTGCTGCACTTCGGCATCAATGAGTGTTCTGTTATACATTTTGTAGGTGTTCTTTTTTCTAAGCTTCCAAATTTATTTGGATTTTTCCGAATACTTCTATGATGCAAGTTTCCTGTTCCCGACACTTTGATATCCAACTTATTCTGAACAGGTTTTGTTGCCAAGTGTCCTGATCTAACAACTTCGGCCTGACTCTGGGAACCAACCAGTGCTGTATTACTTGAGCACTTCAGTGCGACATTTCCATTTGCCCCACTGATGGCAGAAAATGTTTCTTTATATCTCTCATCAGCCATCATTTCAATGTCTTTTGGATCTTCAGCTAAAGGTACAGAAGGTGCAACAAAAGAGTTTTTATCATTATTTACAGTCTTTACATTTGTACTAGTTTCCTCTGAAGCACAATTATTTCCTATTTCACTGCCCACATTCTGCGTTATTTTCCACTTTTTGGCAGAATCTGTCTTAGCTGTTTTCCACTTTTCCACAGAATCTGTTTTAACACGACGCTGTAATATAAGACGTTTTTCTGCTGTTTTTTCAGTTGAGTCTCCCAATTCACTACCAAGCAAAGATGATTCTGTGTTCCTTGTAGCTCTTCTCTGAAGTGCCAATCTACCTACAGGGTTAGGGGTAACGGGTGTATCTTCTGGTTTTCTACAGGCAGAAATAATATAAGTGCTATTTATGTCTCTGATTTTACTGGCAGATCTCAGTAACGGATTATCATTTTCACGTTCTGACATATTTGAGTTCAAATGCAGCTTAAGTCTGTTACTGTGGGTGAGGACACTCAGTGATGAACTCTTTTGAGAAGAAGGAGTACCAAGGATACGGCTGTTATTTCTATTATGAGCAGTGTATACTGACATTTTGGCAGCAAGTTATTTTAAAATAGAATGTTGCTGGAGAATCTAAGCTCTTCTTTGGACATTCATTAGATTTCTAGCCATTTCTTATATATTAGGTTGCAAAAATATCTGCTAAACTACAAAAAGAAAAAAAAAAGGTTTAGATTTCACATATTACAAACAAGCTTTAAAAACAGAGACATCCCACTGTGTAAGTAAATTCCCAGAGGCATACATTAGAATAAATCACAATGTCCTGCTCAGATATCGCTTCCAATCAACTTCAGACAAATTCTGCCCTCAAAGAGTTTACAGTCATTATTCAACAAATATTTACTGAATTGTCATTATGTGCCCAGCCCTCTGATACCGTAGACTTCAAATACAAGACCCTTGTTCTCATTTCCTTAGTTTAGAAATACACAGATAACCCTTATATCAGGCCAAATGTGCCAAGTGACTGAAGAGATACAAAGGGCTGGCTTGTTAGCTCAATTGGTTAGAGTGTGGTGTTGCTGACACCAAGGTCAGGGGTTCAGATCTGCCTACCCTCCAGCCACAAAAACAAACAAAAAGAGATATAAAAAGTGCATATCAGCATAGATTTTTTTTCCCAAGTATCCCCAGCTTGGGGAGTAGGAAGGACTAAAGGAAACCCTACCACCTAAATCAGAGTCTGGAGCAAAGCATTTTTATAAATACCTGTTAGATGTCTGTTGAATACAGGAATGTCCATAAAGGAGATTAAATTGATTGGTGTCACAACGCAGATTATTCCCAGATAAGTACAACTTACAATAAATATAAGTACTGTAAATTAATTGCTTGTGTTGAGAAAAACTATGCAAGATTAAATAGGTAGATGCCTGCCCTTCAGCAGTTAGACAACAAATTAGACAGGGGTGTATGTAAACACACTCGTATGTCAACAATATCAGGCACTAAAGTTTAAAAGAAAGAACAGCAGTAAGAGCGAAGAGACCTGGTTTCCAGTCAACTCTGCATCAGACTCCTTATTTGGATGTAAACAAGTCTTAATTTGCATGCCTGGTTCTAACTTGTAGAATGGCACTAGCTCAAACTATTCCAGAGATTACTGATATCAAGGAACAAATTAAGAGAAGCTCATTTTTGAGTCTTCTAAAGTTCTACATAAATAACAGTCAGCATTACACAAAAGAAATCGTCGGTAATATGCATCACCCTTCAACCTTTCAAGTAAAAGTATACAATCTTCTTGTTATGAAATCAATTTAAAGGCAAAAAAAAGATTCTGGAAATTCTACTGAAACTAAAAAAAACTATTTGTTACACAAATCAATACGGATTTTGTTTGTCTGGGGAGACTGCCATGAGACTTTAAAGGGGACTAAAAGAAATACAAAGAAAATAAGCCACAACCCAAACCAAAACATCCGGTGATCCTGTTCTTCTCCGTGAGTCACCACGAGGGTCTGTGACAGAGGTACCTCTTAATGCCAATTGATTCGGTGAGACTCGACGGGCGAAGGCCTGTGGGCCGAGCGGCCCTGCAGTCCGGCTTCCCTGGCCCGCAGACGCGTTGCCCCGCGCCCTTCCTTCGGGGACCTCTTAGCCGCCGAGCCGGAATTCTGGGGAACTGAATGGGGACCGGAGCTAAGACCACCCGCCCGCGCCTCAACAGTCGCCCGCAAAGAAAGCGCCCGCGCGCCCTGCCCAGCACCGCAGGGTCCGCCCCCTCGGAGGCCCCCCTCGAGGCCGTTCCCACGCCACTCACCGCCCCCAGCCCCGGCTCCCGAGGTGTTCGCAATTTGAATGGGCGCCCCGCCTCCTGATTGGCTGCTGGACGTCGCGTCGAGCGCGGCGCCTTCGCTTCTCCCCGCCCCCCGGAAGCGCCGGTGGTTGGGTTCCGTCCACGCTCCACCCACCCCGCCCTCATCTCCCAGGCAACGGCCCCGCCTTCCGCCAGGCTCAGGCTCAGCTGAACCGATGAACTTGGGCCTCTTTAAATCCGACCGTAGAAGGGGCTGGGGACCCGGCCATGGCGGGCACGCCATCAAAATGGCTTTAAAACGAGAACTCGAAGCCTGACAGACTCTCTTGCCGATCCTTAATATAAGAGAATCATAATCTATCCGCCTTATGTCAAAGACTTCGTATTGTAAATGGCTGTTTGCCCCCAAGTTAGTCATAATAATTAACACTTTCCTAGATTTCTTACGCAAGGCGTTGAGATAGAAAAGGTAGTAAAGTCTTACGTGAATTGTTAAAATTAATCCTGAATAATTTATGAGATAAGTATTAATATTGTTCCCAGTTTATAGAGGAGGCACTGAGGTTCAGAATCAGTAAACTTGTGAAAGACCAGACTACTAGCAAGGAACGTAGCTAGAACTCCGAAGCTGATGCCGTAAAATTTAACTCAGTTTCAATAAGATTTTGAAACCTGAAAAAAAAAAATAACAAAAATACATTCTGAAAAATAAACAGAACAATGAGAATTACTCTAGCCAAACATATTATAAAGCAACAAAATATTTTAAACAGGCAAAAGTGCAGATAATGGAAATGTATTCGAAGTGACTCCAACTGTATAGACGAATTGAACGGTAAACTAAAACTTACTCTGAAGTCTTTCTAAAATATAAGTAAAATTAAGTGTTATGGTTTTGAATGTCTCCCCAAGCTCACGTTGGAGCTTAATCCCCAATATATTTGAAAGGTGGGGCATTTAAGAGGTGATTGGATCGTGAGCACTATACCCTCATGAATGAATTAATCCATTCACAGATTATAGATTAACGGTTTAATCTATAATCTGTGAAGGGGCACTGGTGGATTTATGAAGACAGCAAGTGAACATGTTAACGTGCTCTCCTGCCCAGCCCTCCATATGTGATACCATGCGTTGCCACAGGACTCTCCAGAAAGTGCCCACCATGAAGAAGGCTCTCACCAGATGTGTTCCCTGGACCCTGGAATTCTCAGCCTCCAAAACCGTAAGAAATAAATTCTGTTTCTTTACACATTACCCAGTTTCAGGTATTCTGTTATCAGCAACAGAAAATGGACTAATACGTTATGCTCTAGGGAAACTCTCAGAAAATAGAATATAGTACTTATCAGATCTATGGGAATTGATCATTCAGTTCAGAAGAAAAAGAAATATGGCAAAGAAAAAGACTGGTGAACCCAAATACATAAAAATTTTAAAATTGTATAAATTCAGAATATAATAAAGGTAAAATGTAAGATAACTGGAAAAATAGACTAAATAGGACAGAAGATGTAAAGACCTCCTTCAATTTTATAAGGAAAATATGTTTTTAAATAGAATAAGAAAATAAATAGACTATAAAAATGGACAAAATTTTTTCACACCAGAAAGAATTCACATACTTACAAAAATAATTCATATAAAAATAGAATACAAACATCCAATTGTTTTTTTAAATTAGGTACAAGTAAAAAAATTTTAATTTTGGTGCTAGTGATTTGTACCAAAATTAAAAGTGTACATTTCTAGTGACATAAATTGGTATACTTCTTGAAAACAAGAACTATATCTGTTCACAGTGTGTCCCTAGTGCATAGTATAAGTCCTGATATACAGCAGATGCTCAATAAATATTTATTGAGTAAGTAACAAGCCCTTCTAGAAAGCACTATGGTAATGTATTAGAAGAACCATAAACATATTCATACCCTTTGACCTAGTAACTGCACTACATAAATTTATTCTAAGAAAATATTTTAGTAGAAACCAAAAGGTATACAGGAATATTATCTATCCATATTAGCCCCCAACTGGAAAAAAATCTAAATACCCAACCATGAGAGAATACTTTAAATGTTTAAAAATAAGGAAAAAAATAATAAGTTATAACTATGAAGTGTCCACAAAATTATAATTACTAATTCAGTAGGGCCAGACAATGCCTGGTCTATAGACCAAACCATAATCTGCCACACCAGACTGTGAGCCCAAGGTGGAGCAGGACCTTGTCTGTCACCCTTACCTCCCTGATGCCTGGCATGTAAACTTCATAGGACCTTCATGCAACACTAGCCACACTTCCCTCTTCTTATTCTTTTCTCTTAGAAGCTCCCAATTTAATTTTGACCACAAAATTAATACTCCACGGAATCACAGGCCACCTGTAAGCCATCTCCAGGTTACACAAAACGGATTTTGATCTTTTGTTTATTACACTGAGATGGCGCTTATCTCTGCAAATCCTGTATGCAGCTCACTAGCAGAGGAAGTCACTGAACCCCTGGGTGACTCAGGTTCCTCATCTGGAAATTGCAGATGATAATACTACTTACCTTGAAGAGTTGAAAAGAGGATTAAATTAGATAATGTACGCAAAGTGCTTAGCATACAACCTGCCACAGGATTGATGCTCAATAAATGTTAGCTACTAAATGCCATAGCCTGATATAACTCTCCAAAGCACTGAAAAGCCCGATTCAAGGCTGGTGCTGAGGAGATGGAATCATGCTTTTTATGGGCTCTCTGTTATACTGATAATGACACATCTTATTTTATGAAGGATGAGAATTATAATTTAAGCACTAGAAAAAAACTAACAAGATTAAATAATGAGTCCTTTTGTAATAGACTCACCATACTCTATTAAAAACTGGGAGAGAACAATGAAACACTGTCTCTAAGGGGGAACAGAACTAATCTCTAATTTGCACCATCTAATTAAATTCTTTAGATATTCAGATCTCGCATGCTTGTCAAAGAAATAAAAGAAGAAGGGATCTAGAAAATGAAGATTTGACCAGCACAAGGTTCGCAGAGCAAGCGACCTGATGCTTCTCAATTCATTTCAAGGCTTAGTTCCTATGAGTCAGTGGCTAGCATCCCCCCTGAAATTGGGGACATGGCACCTTCAACTCCCAAAAGCAGCTGGCAGTATGGAGCTCTGCTCTCCTATTTAGGCAGAGGGAGTGCTTTATTACTGTCAACTCAGCAGCTGTTTAAAACGCCCTATATTTTCAAAACTTTTCAAATTTGACTCATTAAAATAATATTTCTTTGGGGATTTTAATGTTAAAAGACCTGTTTGCCAATCAAATTACTTTACCTCTCTGACCCTGAGCTTCTTC